CTCCCTGTAAGTGCTTTGTCGTGTTTCTAGGAATCGCCGGTTAATTCCTACTAATCCAGCAGCTGCGCGTTACAGTTTAGCCACTCCGTCGCGACGCCTTCAGATTCGCTGCTTTATTTACAGCCGGCACGATTTTGCCTGTTAGCTGTTTAGATCAGGATCCCTTACCAAGCAATCTTTGTCTCCTAATAGATTTATTTCTTAATGGTTAATAGACTTTCAGCCATTTCTAATAGAGGTCTCTCAAGAAATCATAATGGATTTACAGGGAACTCTAATAGATTATCAATCTACACCTTGAGGTATATTTTTGAACCTGCACAAAAGATGTCGCTTATACTGATTAACCTTAAGCACCATGTATACTTTATCTGAAGTCACTTGAAATAGCATAAAAACCTTTGGTCGGCGCGTCCTTTGTAATTTCATGACGTATCATAGGCGTACGGTCATTTATTTAGAACGATAATAATAATGTTTTTATATCACAATAAATGGATTTTACTATCTTCTTATTTTTTTGATTTGGGATAAAAAATACTTATATTGGGAGTTTAATTTATGTTGACTGAAAGTTAAGAAATGGAAAAATTACAGAATTCCAACGTTTGACATAGGCAAATATTTACATAGCAGGTAGGTATATAAAAAGGTATATAAAGACTTACATTATAGGTATTTATATATCATCCTCGCCTTCGGAGCTGTCGCTAGAGTCATCTTGTAGAGGAAGTACAACGGGATTTACAGGAGGCAAAACACAATATTCATTTTCTTTTTCAATAATATGCCTAGAACACTGCTTCCATAGGTCTGTGGCAGCAATATGAGATACTGCATCTCTTATTGTGGCCAATAGCGATTCACTTAATTGAGGGGTCTGATTATGTTTTCTTACTTTTTTTTAAAGCAGCCCAGACCAACTCAATCGGGTTAAAAATGCAGTAATAGGGAGGTAGACGTAATACTTCATGACCATTTTGCTGAAGCAGATTGTCAACAACATACTCTTTTCCAAATTTTTGTCTTTTAATAAGATCCAATAATATGGCTTTGGTTGATTTTTGTGGTATTTCCATTCCCTTATCCTTCATAAAATCAATAATGTCTTGTTTTTTGTGCCTGTATTCGGAATTTTATTTTTCTATCGGGAATGGTATGGCGCATTGTTCATAATAATCACTGAATTTGGGGAAATGTTTGGTATTAACTGCTGCTCTATCCACTTTTCAAATAAGTCGGAGGTCATGTCCTCATGATAGTCGGCACATGATTCTTTGATATTTTTGGCAGATAACAGCAAGGCATTAGGTATAAATCCATTTTCACTGCCAGCATGGAGAATAATGATTCGTTTTCCACGGTTGCATGGTGCATTTAAAATGCACTTGTTGCTGTCGTCAACCCAGCCGTACTGCACAACATCATGGGTATCATACCACGTTTCATCCAGGTAAACCAGATTTCTTTTCTGCTCTCTATAGATTTTAACTTTGTGCAAAAATTCTTGGCGCAATTCAACGATTCGAGACGACTCCATAATCACCATTATTTTATCTAATTTTTTGTATTGAAAACCACACAGTTTTAAAATACAGTGCAGTGACTCTAAGCATTTGTAATTATAAAAATCTTCAGGATAATCTTTTAATTTATCCCGTATCATTTCCAACGTGGGCACCAAATTTTCTTTATAAAATCCGTATAGGTATTATACGACGAATATCTTCCTAAAAACCCACGTCTATTCTTTTTAATTTTTGCCCTATGCGCTTTCTGTGGAAGGAATGGTTGACTACATCTCCCCTTTTTATAACCGGATAAATGGTAGACCGACTGATTTTTGTCAGGATACAAATTCTGTTTAAAATTTGATTTTGCGAGGAATCTGGATTTTCGTTTTTCAGACAATCATACATATTTAGGATTACTCTTTGGGTCTGTTCCTCTAAATCTTTATGAAAGAATTCTGCCTGCACAGGTTCATCAACCATCTCCTCGTGGCTTGGAGCATTTTCCCAAGGTCTCCATCTCCAAAGAGCCATATTTAGGACACACAAGAACAATCAACACAACAATTAAATCAACAAGTAAACTGAGTATTCAAAAGTCAAAAACACACAAACTAATAAAATCTATGAAAAAACACGGACAGACTAAAGAAAACACGTTTATTCACCGCTACACGGCACTGGCTAAACTGTTTCAATTTTCAGTAGCCACCTGCACTTGTTCGGAGCTCTGAAATACATGCTTTCTCATTGGCTATGTCCACGCATAGGCGTGCTTTACTCCACGTGGACCGGTGAAACTGCCTTTGATCTTATACGGGGGATATTTGCTGCGAAATTTGGCGATTTTTGAAGCAACAGAGCGTGTTAAATATAGATATATAAAACGCACCCGGTATTTCACAGTGTTTCAAGTGACTTCAGATAAAGTATACTCGTATGCCCGCCATTTTAGTCGCATTGACACTATATTGTTATTGACCAATAAACGAAGGCATAGAATGGCTCGTGACAAGTAGAGAGGAGGTTTTGACGAGCTGTGTGGCCAACAGTGGTCATTTGATAATGTCGGTGTTTTTCTTTTAATTTTCCATTAAAATGTAGATTTTTTTGTAGATTGTATAATTACTCTCGGTGCAGTATATCCAATCAATTCGTTGATGATTTTCTTCACGTATTTCAAATTTTGAGTGTACTTCTTAAAAGCTTGTTTAGGTTTCTTCCGAACTTGTTACCTTCTACAATTAAAACGCTAGCGTAAGTAACATGAGCTCTGAAAAGAAACCTCTTCAAACTACAAATGGTTTCGTAGTTCATATAGCTTGAGCTTGGGTCTTGGGTGGAATACAAAGCATGAAGAACGCGGCCAGAGCCACCTAGGAACAGGCGCTGAACTAATCGTTTTACATTTCGAGTGAACTTTAGCTCTTCCTAATCATGCTTCATATAAAGTTTGATACTTTTTACACAGATGGTACTGGCGGCGGCGGAAAAGAAGCTAATTATACTATCGCTCCACAGATGGCGCCAGCAGCTAGCACTGCCAGCAGGATGAAATAGGTAAAGGAATAATAAGATGTAATAGGAATTTTGTAATAATAATAATAGATCTCTTCTTATAACTGTGATAGATGATACAACACTGCTACTTTCCATAAATGCACATCAAGTGGTGACGGATGCAAGTTCTGTACTTCTGTAGGTTGTAAATACGATTTTCGGCATCCGAATCCACATAAAGATGTCAGGTATCGTTGTTGCCTGCAGAATTTAGATTTGTTAAAATTGGTGAATAATTCGACCAGGTCGGTAGTAAAAATTTCGAGTGCTTAATCCTGATCGAAAACATCACCGCAACCGCTTTTTTCAAACTAAATTGACACAGGCTGTAGTCCGCATACTGTCGTGGAATTTCCACCCGTCTCAGAGTTGTCGCTTATTGTTATGGAATAATCCATTGATAATTATATATATTTTAGGATTAGCAATTAAATTTGAACAATAATAAGGCGATAAGCAGTGAAATGGAAAAATTGCTAGCACAGGAATAACTTAGATAGATGTCAAACTACTTTATTGAAGAATATGAGTCTACCCTCAAAGTGTTTTAGTTTCTGGAAGTAGACCTTTTTCATTTTGAAGATATATTCAGTTAATTTAATAACATTCCACAATTTGATCAAAATATATAAGAATGAAAGCCGTCCCAGAGTTTCGCTTAATGAATGCAGTTTGTGTATTTTTTCAATTGAACCAATTGAACCTTAAAAGCCTGTTGACATTCACATTTTTTGAGAAAATATTCGTTAATATCTTCAAGAATAGCCAAGTACTGTTATACTCAGTTTTACATTGACAATAAATGTTTCGGATTTTGGCCAAATTTCGAAAGTGTAAGTGTAGGAATTTGACGTTAAATAAGTCCATGAAGTTCTTCGTGGATTTCTTCACGAAATTATAATTTGTTCTAATTCTTGACAAATTCAACAACGTGGTTTCTGTTTATTTGATTTGCCTCAAAATTAAAGCCACAGTAGACATACAAGCTCAAAACGTTTCTAGCAAGAGTTTGTTATGTGGTTGAAGTGGCAATTCATTAATTTGCCAATTGATGTAAACACGGCCAAATTTCTGGGTAAATTCGTGAAGAAATTGTTTATATAGAACGGATATTAAAATACCGTAGGTCCGATTAGTATGCAATTTTTTCATCTAAGTTGAGTCAGACCAGAGCTGTAGTGCTTTGTAGTCTCTGGCTACCAAGCGCTTAGCTACCTAGGGTGTAAACATGGACTTTGCTTTTTTAAAACTGTATCACATGTCCATCAACTGAGTCCGACCCGGTTAAAAAAATATGAACAATATAAAATGAACAAGGTTTAATCAACACTTATTAATTATTCATTTAGAATTGATTTTAATCTCCTTGGATGTCTTTATTTTTATATGGAAGCTTGAAAATGTAGCATGGCGCCATCTGTCAATAGGCACTGGTATCGCACGCCATTGAACTCTCAGGAAATATGTATCGACTGAATGATAAACGTTACATACCCCGTTCAGCTTTTCATGCTTGACAATAGATGGCACGACTTGTTATATATTTATGCGCTACGCACAAACACTTTGGGAAGTTGTGCTTATATACCCGATTCGAAATCCACTAAGTGTACTCGCTTCGGCGGTACATATACTAAAATTGGAACGATACAGAGAAGATTAGCATGGCCCCTGCGCAAGGATGACACGCAAAATCGTGAAGCGTTCCACATTTTTTTGATCCTTCGAAATTCATCATGGTACAGTTTGGATGACTATACTTTCAAGATATATGAAATAGCAATTAAATTATTTGAATGAGGTTCGATAAGTATAAACTAGAGAGATTTTTTGTTCGTACATGATTTTGAATTAGGAATACCACTTGTTCAATACCTGTAGATCTGATAATAATTGTCTTTCTTTTTATGTGAATAATACAAAAAACAATATCTTTTGATGATGGAGTATTTATTCAATAATGTTGTTCTTCTGTGCCATAGGTACAACTAGAGATTTAACAATAGTTGTGTTATTACAAAGAGGAAAAACAAAGCTAATGAAATCTTTCATGGGAAATTTGACTCTATTTCAAAAGCAAGAGGGCAAATTTTTTACTATATTTGTACATGGCCATGGGTTGAACCACAGTATAGATGCAACGTATTTAAATGGTTTTTTGAACCGTTTGGCACTGTTGAAAAGAACATCATAGAGGCTCCAAGTATGAGATATAATCTAAAAGGATTTCTTTACGTCTTTAAAAAAATTAGAAAGAATTTGTTGAAGCATCAATTTATGTATCTTCTCACCACATTAAGCAATCGTAAATCTGTGTTTCACAGTGCTAAACCAGTTGTACAACAATGTTTGCCAGAACAGCGACTATGAGGTGCTGAAGTAGCACAAAGGCCAGTCATGTTTCAAGTCCACAATTACACATTTTATTGAATGGTTTCAAAACTGATTCCTAGCTTGCCAAACTGTAATAATTAAGAACAAATCCACTAACAAAAAATATTTTATTACTAAATAAATCACCACAATTTACACTACACATATCTGTAGTAATAGCAGGATTATGACATCAACATCATGCCTCCTCGTGTCATGAAATCTTTGTAAGAACAGTGAACGTAGAATTCTGCATACATAGGATCTGTCAGACTGTCAGGGTCCTTCGTGTAGAAGATAGGTTCTCCATACCAAGTGCCTGTTTTCCATCCTTCTACATTCTTCATTAACTCAGTTTCTTCATCCCTATTTTTCCTAAGCTGCTTGAGGTAAGCCCTGTCCCTCTCTGCTAGAAGCATCGGATACAAGGCAAAACTGGCACACTTCATTTCCAATTCTGTTGCTTTCACTGATTTGCAGTTCAGGAAATACAAGTAGGCTGCACCGGCTGTCATCCCAAGGTAGCCCCCGATCAGTGCCCAACCTGCAAAGCGATACGGTTAAGAGTTACGTAATTGTCCATTCTTTGAAAAACCTACCGCTGAAGAAGGTCTTGGCTGGAACCCTTTTAAATGGAATTGAGCTGTAGCCCCCCGGAGGGGGCAAATCTTGCTTGTAGCTAGGAGAAGAGGACATTCTCCAAAAATAGTCTTTTTTATTTTGATAGAATTGATGGTTGGGTTGATGGCCCTCGAATCTGACAGACGACAAACAGCTAACGAAAAAAGACGGCAGAGGGATTTGCAATACACGATGCATACTCGCAATGCGGTATACTTTCCAATAATGTTGTCATATCAGTGTTACATTCTTTATTTGAATAGTTGATCGGGTAAAACGGGCAGGTATGGAAAAATAACGTAACAGAAAAAAGACTGCTGACTCACAAATTTCATGTACATTAGATTAAGTGAATTTTTTTTTCGAAAACTACGAAAAACGTTCAAGAGACAACAATGTTGTATTTCTATGTGCTCAATCCAAAGAACATAATAAAAATTGCACAAAAGGCAGTGGCGTACATTTGTTTGTCACAAATATTAGTTCACACCCCGCTCGAGACGCCACTGGACTTAATAAATTCAATCATGTCAGGTATAAATTAGTTCCTCGATGTTGTAAATAACACCACCAAATTACAACAAAATTAGGTAAGTTATATTTAAAAAAATTAGGAAAAGCCATTTTTTTAATTTTAAAAACCTGTATCTTGAGATCGAAAAATTTGCGGACCTATATGAACCTTTTCTCTTAAGATTACTCAAAGGATCGTCTTTTTTAACTTAAATTAACACCTTGTATATAATAGATGTCAGAACGTGACAAATAAGTTACCTTTCTATCAAATCTGTATGTTTTCCATCACATTTGTATTACATTTTTTTCATCTACATTTAACAGCGTTGATTCGCAACCCTACAAGCGCCACCTAGCAGAAGTTTTCGAACAACACTGCAAATGTCTGTCACGTACCCTTATCCGTTCGTAAAAGCAACGAGGGTCTACAAAATTCGAGCCTTGGTATGAAGATGTTTATCAGAAAAGAAGAGCACTAGTAAAATCAGCTTTTGGGAAAAGAATCGCAGCAAGGGATATGCTAGGAAATACATTGAATAGCTACCCACTAAACCTAGAAAATACAACTGGCAATACTGTATACCATTCACTTCGCGTAAGCATCGAACTTGGAATTCCGGGCGGCTGATACTGACATGAAAAAGGAAACTGTAATGGTTTTCTAAGAAGAAGGTAAACATGCTAGTATTACATTATACGAGTCGATGGCGCTATGACTATGTCATCATCAAATTTCAATACTTATAATAGGAACTCAGTAAACTTCAATGTGTACATCCTATATTATTGTAAATTTATTGGTGGTTATTTTTCATCGATTTTGATCGAAATAGAGCATTTGTTACTACATTTTGCTTTTGGGCTTTTGCTGACATCTCTACGGGGGGAACTGTACTATAAATAATAGACTACAAATATGAAGAGGGTACCTTTTGTCATAGCTCGATTTTTTGACAGATGACCTCACCTTTTGGCCATGAACGTTTCCGTAGGTTTGATAACAAATTGTAATGGTGTCAAAATACCTTTATGAAATCAAATATGATTTAACAATGGTGTGTTTTACGATTGCGAACTTGGAATCGATGCAAATAGGAAAAAGTTTTTTGAATTCTTGACGAGGATAAAGCAAGGGCGATGAGTTGACATGAGGAGAATTCACCCTGCAACCGATGTTAACCAAAAGCCGGGCCATGAGCTCACAAAAAAATTATATAGGTAAGTGTTTACATCGCATTTTTAGTAAATAAGCCAACACGTCTCCGGACTGGTCTGCACGTTGATAGGACCTTAGAAATTTGAACAGTGATTAGACCTTCATTGTGAGGTCAAAATTTGCATTTGATATTAGAATGAAATTAAAAAACTGAAGTGGCAACAATTTAACAAGTAGAATACGTTTAGTATTGTAACATATGTATACTCAATTTGATCAGTATTCCAATGGATAGAAATTACATTCTGAGTAAACAGGTGCTAGTCTGATGTATGTGTGTGCATGTGCTTTGAGGGTTGTGCAATATTGGATATTGGGTTTTGGAAATGTTTTAGTGATTTACACCACTTCAAATTAAAGTGAGGCGTAAAGGAAACCTATGGATAACCTCAAAATGGTCAGGTTAAACTTGAGATTACAATGTAACACTAAAAATATTGTTAACCCTCAAGTCACCACATGTCAGCTTCAGAAGACGTCAAGTTTTACAAGTTCTTAGGTTAACCTGAAGTTATATTACAATTTAACTCAAAGCAGTATAAACCACCATATACAGGGTAGCTCAATAAAAAGGTCGCACCCCCATTTGTGACTCCTGGTATATTTTGGGAAAAATGCTCGGACATAAATTTTGATGTTTAGGGGGGACATCTTTTCATCTATAGCCATATAATACAGGGTGGTCCAAAAAGTTTTTAGTAACTTTTGTATAATCAGATTTATATGTATCCTTGTGAAGCTATTTGCAATTGTGATAATAAGGGATAAATAATATTGTAAAAATAATAATCAAATTAGTTCCCATAGTAGCAAGACCTTACTTTAAAATTAAAGACAAGTTTAGTATTAAAAAAGCAACTTACAGTCTACACCCACTTTAAAGTTAAAAGTCAAAATTTATTTGCTATAGTAATAAGTGCTGAAAGTGGTATCCATTTACGTCCATGCAATAATAAAGATTTTGTACGATCCTATTCCTCACATTTTGGAGTATGCCTTGAGTTATTTGTCTATATTCTGCTGATAAAGATTTCGATTGGAATCTGGCTTCATACCAGAAACTTTACTTTTCAAATACCCTCAGAGAAAGTAATCTAAAGGACTTAAGATATTTCTTCAGTATATTGTGAGTGTACCTCTTGAAACAAATGTGGATTAGAGTTACTCCAATACTGACAGTTATGTCTATTTCCACGAGTGCTCTGGGTGTTGTCAAGTGCTATTTGTCCCAAAACTGCTATTTCTGCGGCTTCATTTCTAATTGGTCAATTTTCTCAATGACGATTACAATGAATATTAGACACAGATCCAGTTTCTTCAATGTAGCCACATACATTAATATTTTTGTCTGGATGTAATGCATTAAACAATTGGGCAGTAGCTCTTGCAATGCTCCCATTTTAGAAATGCATTTTTGTTATTTGTACCCTTTCTTGAATTGAATAAGTCATTGTTCAATATTCATCACAACTAAGTCGGTAACTTAACAATTTGAAATTAAAGTTTTTCTATGACATATGATGACACTGACTGATGCTAAAATTCTTGGTGGTATCCATGATTTTTATTTTTTGCTGTGCATCCCATTATTATCAGTATTAAGTTAGTCGAATTTTATTATAAACTCAAATAGCTTCGCAAGGATTGAAGATAGGTATAAACTTTATTGTACAAAAGTTACTAAAACCTTCACGGAGATCTAAAAATTAAAAAAATGGGGATTTCCATTTAAAAATCTAAAGTGTATTGCTACATCTTATTTTTGGATTATCCTGTATTGTAGCGCTAGGTTGTTTATTCAGATGAGAACATTGGATTTTGAGCAGTGACTGTTATGATTGATCAGAGGCAGATTTAAGATGATGCACACAATGTGATTTTGGCCGCAGGAATCAAGGGGGCCCCGTAACGCGTTTTATTGTGGCCCAAAAGTAGACAACGTTTATTAACTATCACCAACCATGTCTAATTAAGACAGTGTTCTACTGTATATGGTATACATTTAGTGACATTGGCTACCTTGGTGGCCTGTTTCAGAATACAAAGTAAATTGATAGTGACAATATAACAAAATATCTGTTTATCTGTCTTCCAGGTTACATGGCAGTTGTTTTACTTACAAGACACGTAACTAGATATGTCATTTTTAATTCATTTTGAACTTGGAAAAAGGCCATCCACATGGATGTAATATATATAATCTGGAATAATTTTTTTAAATGCACATTGTGGTTTCTAATGGGCAGTACTATATAAAAATATATCGGTGAGACAACCTCAGGATAAGCTTTAGGAATTACATTGATTAGTAATCCATCAAGTTCTAAAAATTAGCCAATGCCCAAATTGGATACCATGTATTTAGGAACGAAGACGTTTTTTGAAAAATGTTTGGCAACTTCACCTGACAAATAATTCCTCTCTGAACTGTGACTTACGAAATTTCTGGGACTGGAAGTAAAATTAGTTGATCATCATTTTTTTGTTATTGCTCATGTTGTGGCTCTTTTTTACTATACAGAATTTATGTATTTTTTTTTTGTTGGCATCACGTCACCACAGCCACAGATTTTATAATTTTTGTATATTTTCAAGCTTTCATCACTTCTCATGTGTAGCCCTTTTTTGATGTGTAAAGGTTTTAGTAATGCACTTTATTTCAGAACCATAAGTGAGCAAGCTAAACGTTTAGATGATTCTAGAAGTTGTGCCCGAAACATAAAGGAACTATTCACACCAACCTTAACAGTCCAAAGGAAAAAGTTCTGCGATTACTGCGAACGTTTGATCTTCTCTGATGTGGTGCTGTATGGAAGAAAAACTGAAGAACTGCTCTGGAGAAAAGGATTCTATGACGTAATATCAACTGCCAAGAAATTGAAGAAAAAAGAATTCCAACCCGAAGAAGTGCTCTGTATCGAGTCCCACATAAATGCTGGAATAGGATATTACAATCACATGATGATGAAGTTACAATATGAATTCGATCTTGTGCTTAAAAATGTGGTTGACTTCCATATACTTTGTGAGATGAAAAAAGATGCTGATATAAAACTTGAAGCTACGGAGTGGGCAAAGCAGAGTATACACCAATGTTTGATCTATCTTGGTGACTTGAATAGATACAAATTAGATATTTATCCTAATCTTAATCCCACTCTTTCTGTCAGATATTATTTACAAGCTGTTACTTATAGACCAGATTTTGGAATGCCTCATAACCAAATGGGTACTCTAGAGATGAATAGAAACCATTTTCTTGAAGCAGTATATCATTACATTCGTTGTTTATCATGCAAAATATCATTTGATGGCACTACTAATAACCTTCTTGGGTTGTTTGAGAAAAACTCCAAATTTATTGAACACCTACCCCCAGAAAGCAATTCAGTGGACTGCATTATTGAACTAGATAAGTCAGAAAATATCAAAAGGCTAATTGCTAGGTTTCTTTTGCTGATTGACATATGGTATTTCAACAAAAAGGTACCAAAGGTATATAACTTGTGCCATCAGATATACAAGAATTTAGAAGAGTGTCTTGGTTACCCAAAACCGACTGTTAGCGAATCTGGAGAAGGTCCTAATGATAGTGCATCTATTGAAACTGACACCAGCAGTGTGTATCTCAGCAGTGATAAGGTGAGTCAACATTATTTCAAAAGGTTACTATACTAAGTGACATATAAATCCGAACACCCAGTTTAAATGGTTTTATTTTAATAAAAGTTGGTGAATGTATTTATCTTACTGTAAATAACAAGTGAAAAAATGTTCAGCCTTATCAGTTGGACATTCCGGTTTTTATACTGCTTTTTTTTAATTCACTAACGCTCTAAAAATGAATATTTCAGCCGCAGTAAAGAATCAACGTTGGCGGATTTTGGTTCTTGACATCCTTTACGATCGGCTACGATGCCTAGAGTACGGAGACCTGTACGATTTCGTCAACTTAGTGAGTTTGATAGGGGCCGTATAGTGGGACTTCGGGAAGCTGGACTTTCTTTTCGGGCAATTGCAGTTAGAGTACAAAGAAGTGTAGACACTGTGGTTAGGTGTTGTCAGGCATGGCTTAGAGAAGGCCGTACGCAAAGAGCAAGGGGCACTGGACGCCGCCGTAGAACAACAGACCGTGAAGATCGCCGCCTAAGATTATTGGCCTTAAGGGACCCTTTCTCCACTACCAGGTCCATTGCAAATGAATGGTTTGCAGAACACGGAAGACCTATTGGCATGCGAAGTGTTTCCCGACGAATGAGAAGTTTTGGCTTGTTTTCATACCGGCCACACTGGGTCCTCCCTTTAACTCGAGAACACCGACGTCATCGCCTTGAGTGGTGCAGACAACGGTCACTCTGGGATCAGGAATGGAACAGTATTGTCTTTAGTGACGAGTCTCGATTTTGTTTAGGCATGCACGATGGTCGTGCCAGGGTTAGAAGGCGACGTGGTGAAAGGAGGAATCCACAGTTTTTTGTTGAAAGACATGTTCATCACACTGTTGGAGTTATGGTTTGGGGTGCTATAGCTTATGGTTCCAGGTCACCTTTAATCTTCATCAGAGGTAACATGAACGCGCAGCGTTATATCCACGAAGTTCTAGAACCTGATCTTTTACCCTATCTTGACACCCTGGCAGATCCAACTTTCCAACAAGATAATGCCCGACCACATGTTGCAAGAGTCACAATAGACTTCTTTCAACATAATGATGTCACATTGTTACCATGGCCACCAAGATCTCCCGACTTATCCCCAATTGAGCACGTGTGGGATGTGATGGGTAGGAGATTGCTCAATTTGCAACGTCCTCCTCAGACTCTAGAAGCACTTCGAGAGGAGTTGGTGGTTGCCTGGAATGAGATACCACAGGAGGACATTGACCACCTGATCAGAAGCATGCCTAGGCGCGTTGGAGAATGCGTAGCACATCAGGGTGCATCCACACATTATTAAAGGTCAAAGGGCTTTAAAGCAGTGCAATCATTTTGAAATTTTTATCATTTACTTATTATGCTTCATTAAGTACTTATACAAAATTTTATTAAAATAAAACCATTTAAACTGGGTGTTCGGATTTATATGTCACTTAGTATATATATTGTCATGGGATAGTGGTCCATGAAATGTTTGAATTGCACTGCAATGGAGGCCAGATGCGTATAAACTTGTGTTGATTTTGTACTGTTAGCAATACTATATCTGTAAAAATTTGGCAGCATTAGCATAGTTTAGGAAAGGTTGAGCCACATATGCCTTAGTACAAAGTCGAACCGTTATTGAGTAAAGCACATTTTTGTGATATCCTTGAAAAAAGCCAAAATCATGCGATAAACCATTACTTGGTCGATAATGAACAGCAACACCTTTGTTTTCTTATTTTTCTCATTTATCTTAATGTATGAACTCTCTATAAAGTAGTTTCCAATGTGACGTTTTCACTAAGGTTTTGATCCGGAGATGTATAAAATGTAGAAAAATAATGTTAACAGTATCTTGGGGTTTTGTTATGGTAGTTTCATTGTATTTCATAATTCCAGGTGAACGAGATATTACTTTCTTACTGTGGATTAAATCTCAAAACTGAGAAAGATCTGATAGAACATTATTTTCTTCTGCCAAAATAAAAATTTCATAATCGTTATCAGTTTGAATCTTTATTGTAACAAATCTGTTATGAAATACTTGATCATCATATATTTCGTAGTTTTAATGCGCTCGTTCTTTTTACTTTATTTTATTTAGTGTCAAAAGAACCTATGGCTAGAAATGATTCTTTGGGGACAGTTTGTTTAAATATTTTATACAAAGCCTCTTGCAACGTTTCAGTCGCTGCATTTGGTCCCGCCCTTTTTGTAGCCAAATATAATAACAATTTTATACAGGGTGGCCCATAAGTCCTCTGAGCTGGAAAAAAAGGAATAAAACCAAACTAGTTACATTATGAAGAATTATTATATTTTGTTATCATCTTTATTGAATGGGAATTATGTTTTAAAAATCACATCGTCTAAATGCAATCCATTACGATCACGGCACTCATATAAACGACGTCTAAAATTGACTGCGCGGCAAGTCAACACTGTAATGCTTGCCATTTCTCTTCGGATATTTTCTTTCAGGACATCAACTGATCGCGGAGTGGTGTCGTACACTTTACTCTTGAGGTAGCCCCATAAAAAGAAGTCCATTGGGGTCAAATCTGGACTACGTGGTGGCCAGGAAATGTCTCATCTTCGAGAAATTACTTTGCTGGGAAAAAGTTGACAGACAACGGGCATAGAAGTGTTGGAGGTGTGGGCAGTTGCTCCGTCCTGTTGAAACCAGGTCTGCGTATTATAGCCTGGAAAATTCTGCAACGCTGGTGTCAAAAACTCTTCTATCATTGCTACATACCGCTCCGAAGTAACAGTTAATGCGCGACCTCTGTCGTCCTCAAAAAAATAAGGGCCTACGATGCCATGCGCTGACATAGCAGCCCAAACTGTAACTTTAGGGCTGTGTAAGGGCTTCTGATGCTTACGCCTTGGATTTTCGGGGCTCCAATAACGGCAATTTTGTTCATTTACATGCCCGTTTAAATGGAAGTGAGCCTCGTCCGAGAACAACACATTATTGAGCGAAGAAAATCGATTCAACATTTCATTCGCAAAGTTTAGTCTCTGAATAGCGTCATTATCTTTTAATTCCTGCACTAACTGAATTTTGTAAGCGTGCAGACGTAAATCTTTCCTTAAAATCAGCTGTAAAGATGTTCTGGGTACGTTTAGTGCACTGGAACGCTTACTAGTAGACTGGGTAGGATTTTGACGAACAGACTGTGCCACAATGTTGATGTTTTCTTCAATACGAGTTGTCCTTGGTCGACCCCACCGCTGTTTATCTAACGTCGAACCAGTCTCTTCGAACTTAGCAACTTAGCAGTTCTTAATCGTTTGAGCTGTTGGACACTTTGTAAAATTGTGGTATTCTCGATATTTATGCCGCGCAATGGTTGCCGAATCATTATTTTGATAAAACGCGCGCACACAAAAAGCACGATCCGCTCCAGTGAAACACTCCATGGCGACTGAATTCCCAGACACTGAAGATACTGCCCCCACCTCGCCCGCGCCGCTCACGCTCACCCGTTAAATTTTATTCAAATTTGAAATTTCAAAGGACTTATGGACCACCCTGTATTTTTCATCCTGAAAATAGCTTCCTTCTGAAGCCACCCAGTACTGGAGACGATTTTCCACTCGTAGTAGTGCTGGAACTCTAATACTGGAATAGCCTTCAGCTGAGTTCCCTTTGTGGTGATCTTTCGACTTTGAGGAGAGACATCCAGTTGTTCTTGATCTGATGAACGGCGGTGTGCGTCAAATTTAACTCTTCCCCGATCATTCTGACTGTCAACCAACGATCTAAACGCACAACCCGGATTCTGTCAATATTTTCAACGGTTCTTAGATGAAGGCCTTCCGCTTCGAGGTTCATCGACTGTCGCTTCTTAAAGTGCCTTAAACCATCGAAAATCCTGGGCTGAAGCAAAACTTGATAGCACACCGGTGCTTGAAATTGATGTCATTCATTTTTTGAACACAATAGGAGAAAATGACTTGAGCAAGTTTAAACTTGTACTGAAAGCAGACCACATGTCCCTCTGTCTCGTCTTCAAGCCCGGCACCTCCAGTTTTGCCAGAAACGCCGCGTTGCCAGTCTCATCACTTAATTTACAGACTTCGTACATAACCGGGACCAGTTTGTTTGAACAAAATTAAGAGTGACAAGAAATTTAGATTTCAAAAACAAAACAATACCATGGGTCCTATGTTCACCTTACTCCAACAGTTATACTAAAATTTAAAAGATAAACAGCTCTTTTCTGGGACTTCTACCAGGCTTTTGACTGTGGAAATCATGATATACTAAGTGACATATAAATCCGAACACCCAGTTTAAATGGTTTTATTTTAATAAAATTTTGTATAGGTACTTAATGAAGCATAATAAGTAAATGATAAAAATTTCAAAATGATTGCACTGCTTTAAAACCCTTTAATAATGTGTGGATGCACCCTGATGTGATACGCATTCTCCAAGGAGCCTAGGCATGCTTCTGATCAGGTGGTCAGTGTCCTTCTGTGGTATCTCATTCCAGGCAACCACCAACTCCTCTCGAAGTGCTTCTAGAGTCTGAGGAGGACGTTGCAAATTGAGCAATCTCCTACCCATCATATCCCACACGTGCTCAATTGGGGATAAGTCGGGAGATCTTGTTGGCCATGGTAACAATGTGACATCATTATGTTGAAAGAAGTCTATTGTGACTCTTGCAACATGTGGTCGGGCATTATCTTGTTGGAAAGTTGGATCTGCCAGGGTGTCAATATAGGGTAAAAGATGGGGTTCTAGAACTTCGTGGATATAACGCTGCGCGTTCATGTTACCTCTGATGAAGATTAAAGGTGACCTGGAACCATAAGCTATAGCACCCCAAACCAACAGTGTGATGAACATGTCTTTCAACAAAAAACTGTGGATTCCTCCTTTCACCACGTCGCCTTCTAACCCTGGCACGACCATCGTGCATGCCTAAACAAAATCGAGACTCGTCACTAAAGACAATACTGTTCCATTCCTGATCCCAGAGTGACCGTTGTCTGCACCACTCAAGGCGATTAGGTCGGTGTTCTCGAGTTAAAGGGAGGACCCAGTGTGGCCGGTATGAAAACAAGCCAAAACTTCTCATTCGTCGGTAAACACTTCGCTTGCCAATAGGTCTTCCGTGTTCTGCAAACCATTCATTTGCAATGAACCTGGTAGTGGTGAAACGGTTCCTTAAGGCCAATAATCTTAGGCGGCGATCTTCACGGTCTGTTGTTCTACGGCGGCGTCCAGTGCCCCTTGCTCTTTGCGTACGGCCTTTTCGAAGCCATGCCTGACAACACCTAACCACAGTGTCTACACTTCTTTGCACCAGATGAGAACTCACCGCATTGAATGTGAAACATTTTTGAAATGAAAATGAATATATTATTAAGAAAATTAAACTAATATGGTTGTAATTCAACTTCACTCGATTGATCTAAAACATATTTAAATAATCGATCCCTAATTGTAAAATTATCATATATTTCAAATAAATTCGATATAATCACAGGGGTACCTGAAGGATCGGTATTAGGTCCGATCCTATTCTTAGTCTAGATCAATGATCTAATAATTTTAAACTTAAATGGTAAATTCGTAGTTTTTGCTGTTGATGCCACAATATCAATCAATACAAAAATTGACAGTGCTATATTCAATCAAAAAATGGTGTGACAATTACGTGAATGAATTTTAAATACTCCATTGATTGTCTAAATTTAAATTATGAATTTATATTTGGTGTGTCTGTTCCCAGAATTGCTTAAAAAAAGTTCTTATTCTACAAAGACTAACTATTAGTTATGGCAGCGCTTAAAAATAAACCTAAATTTGAAACATTAAATATAAGTTACAATATTAGTTGAAAACAAGATTTTAAGTTAATAGTACCTAAATCAATTCTTGTAAAATACCCAATCGTTTAAAATGGTCTGAAAATGTACATGCATCTCCCTGATGCTATCAAAATAGTTAGCGATTTAAAGATATTCGGCCGTGAATTTAAAAACTTTTTAATAAGTAAACCATATTAAAGCATAGGTGATTTACAGCTCACCTACTTAAGATCCACATACAGTAATGGACAAACAAAATATGAATATTTACCTAAATACCTTTAGGAAACGAATTCATACTTTATTGCTCAATAAACAAATGCGTTATTAGTAGAAAAACTAAATTCCTTGTTTTTACATTATCTGCAATGAACGCAATACAAGTCTGAATATAAGGACTTTTTTATGAGGGACAAAAATATGTAGACAAATTCTTTTCAACAATAGTTCAATCCAGTTTCATGTCAGAAGAGGTTTGTATTCATCAAGTATTGTGGAATAAATTGAGTGATTTTAAGACCATGCCGCGTAGTCCAGAAATTTCTTTCGATGTGAAAACTAAGATCATTGAGTTATACAAAGATGGTCAATGTCAAGTCGACATTGAAAAAAATTTGCAGCTGAAGCGTAAAGCATTTTGGGAAATATTGAACAAATATAAACAAAAAGGTATCTTGGAAGCCTCTAAGAGAAGTGGTCGGCCTAGAAAACTAAATGCTAGATCAGTTAGATTAATAAAAGTAATTTCGTCCAAAGATCCGTTTAAAACCCCAAGACAAATAAAAGCCGAAATCGAGACAACAGGAAATGTCAGTGTTTCTACGAAAACTATAAGTAGAAGATTAAATGCTTTGAAGTTATTTGCACGTCGCCAGAGTAAGAAGCCGCTAATCTCGAGGAAAAACCGTAAGGACCGATTACAATTTGCACGGTTGCATCTTGATCGGAGCATCTATGACTGGAAGAGGGTATGTTTCAGTGACGAATGTTCAATATGTTTGGATCAGATGGTGCTTATTACGTTAGACGTCGTAGTGGACAAAGATTGAACCCCAAGTACACTTTGCCCACTGTCAAACATGGAGGCGGGACTGTTATGGTTTGGGGGTGCTTTTCGGGGTTTGGGATGGGACCTTTACATAGAATAGATAGCATTATGGATAAGTTGGTATACACAGACATACTTAAGCATGTATATGGAAGACAATATGTTCTTAAGATCAATCTTAAAGCAAGATAATGACCTGAAGCGCATTTCAAATCTCGCAAATAAATTCTTTCTGGATGAAAAAATACCAGTTCTCAAATGGCCTTCACAGTCTCCCGATATAAACCCCATTGAAAATCTGTGGGAATGCTTAGATAAGCAAATATGAGATAAAAATTATTCAAACAAGGATGAACTTTGCTTCTTTTTTCTATAATCGTTTTGCTTTGTCTATATAATTTTGTCCGTCATAGTTCCTGTTTTTTTCAATTAATTTTTTATTGAAGGGAGTCTAATGAATTTATTTATGTATAAGTGAGTATTATGCTATAACGAATTATGTATACATATTGGTGTATTAATAAAACAAGTTAAAAAAGAAATACAGCACAATATTAATTTGTCTATACTTTTGTCCATTACTGTATGTAATTATGTTATAGTTTAGTTCTTAGTAAGCTTTGCCCATGAAAATGATTGCATTCGTTAGACAATGAAGCATATTTATGGAATAAAAACTATTGAAATCTTACGTACTTTGATGGTAAACAGCAAGCTTGGCATATTTTCTATTTAGCATCAAAACATGTAAGATGCGACTAATTTCTTTCGTAATCAGTACGCGATGATGTAACAAAAAATCTACGATCGGCTTCCAAGCTCAATGGGGCCGACCAGGAGATTATAAAGGCTGTCTTCTCTTGATATAACTACTCGTCAAGTTTGGCGTGATGAGTGAATGACTAATGGAGAATTACGCATACTTCCTCACTAAACAACGTCATTTTCTTTATTGCAGGTCTTCAAAATGATCGTGATTTGCTTACTATGCATCGCGAAGCTTCGATCCGCCAATTCGCCACAACTATCCACCGCCGTAGCCTTTTCGCTCGGCGTCTATTCGCTGTTGATCCAACACGTGGCGAGCCATATCCGCGACAGCATTTTGAACTGTCCCTTGAACGGCAACATCAAGGCGCACAAAAGCAACGGCATCCTCAAAGATCTGATGAGTGGCGGCAAGAAACGCAGCAGGACGAAATTGAGGAGGAGAAAGGTAGTGAAAGTGGAGAGTGATGAAGAGTCCGACGTTAGCGGCAGCGAGAGGAATGATGATTATAGCAGCAGTTCCGAGGATTCGTTCATTTCTGATACGGAGGATGTGTTGGCCGTTTCGTCGGACGAGGAATGTGATGTTTCTAAGGTAAGAAATTTATTTATTTATTTGCGGTTAGTACACTGCTCGAACATATGATTCCATTTAACGAACAGGAAATATACAAAATACAAAAAAAAAATCAATAAACAACGTATCAAGTACATTACACACATTACATCTAAATAAGATCTTAACCTACAGTCAAAAACGACCTTTTTAAAAGTGATATAGTGCAATAAAAAATGTCTACTAAATTCTTTACAGTAATTTCTGCGCTTAGATAAATTTACTATATTAGATCAACTGAGCAATAAGTCATTGCGAAATCCAGCCTCAGGATAAATCCCATCTTCCTTGAACCATAAATATTTAGGTTGTATAGTAGACGACAACGATATTATGTTCGTTTACATTTTTTCTGCTGCCTTGTGTTACCGACCCGCCATATAGTACGGTCATTCTATGATACGGTATACATAATAATTGGTTCATCTGTATAAATTATACATTTGAGCAATGTGCAAGTTCACATAATGTGACTGCGCTATGAAGACCTGAACCCCTCCGCCCCTTCCCGAGCCCCGCAAACAGGTGAATCAGCGTCACCTACGTGTGTTTATTGGAATTCAAGAATTTATCTTGTCATGAACAACAAGTGATAAAATGGTCAGGTTCTTCTGTTAAGTTTTTGTGGTGGCTGCGTGTATTATTTGGTGATAAAGAAGCATCATCTTTCTTCCTTCCTGTAGACGACATTTTTCAAAAAAAGAACACCACAAAATAACTTACAGTAGACGTTATTGCAATGCGAATTTATAGTCAACGCCAAACAAAGTGGCGTGCACGTCATCACGATAAAAATTCCCCGACCTAATGCCTAGGTTTCTATCACAAACAATTGCTCTATTGCAGTTTCATATTAATGTGATATATAAATTGTAAAATGGTCATTACTCTCTTATTATGGTTAATAGTCATATAAACATTGTTATTAAAATATCACATAAGTTGCTTTCTGATAAATTTAGACGCATTATGCGAAATAAAATGTTTTGCAAACGCTCCAATCACTTATCGACATGTAAACGCACTAAACCGATTTCGCAGCGTTGACACATTGTCACCTTGAAACTTATTTAAACTGGGAACTGACATTTGTATTAATTTTGACACTGAATCAATTTGTGGCATTTCAAATCTTTATAAATCCTTTGGCCCCGCATACTGTAAATCAACAACTGTTTATTTCAAAACAAAATTATTCATTTTACGAGTAGATAAAGGCAATTTTGGTATATAAAGATGCCCAAACAGTTAAATAGTCGGTGTAAGGAACTCGTGGCCTCGTTAATGCACTACTTTGAGCAAGAAAGGGACAACAACGGGCCTTTGTTGCCTTTAAATGCTGTTCAAGAGGTAGGTTACTAATAATTATATGTAATGTATATTAATAATAGTGAAATTTTTTCATTTTTTGTAGCGTGTTGCTGCTGCTTTAAAAATTAGTTTAAGGACAGTTAGTCGTATTTCCGAGGGTGTGAAAAGTGATGCAAATTTAGAATCGCCCAAGAAAAAGCGGAGTTATATTAAACGTGTAACCAACACAGCGACATTGGATACAAGTGCCATTCGAGAAGTGATCTATAATATGTATCATAAAAGTAAGATCTTATTATAATAACTTATCAGAAATTTGCATTAATTTGTTAACTAAATTATAATGTCATATTACACATGGTTTCAGAAGAACAAGTTACGATACAAACTTTATGGTCTCGATTAAGAGATAGGGCATTATTTGATGGTAGTGCCACGTCTTTAAGGCGGTTGCTTAGAGATCTTGGATTTAAGTGACTTAAGGACAATCCGCGACGAGGACTCATGGAACTACCAAGTATAGCTTTGAAAAAGGTGGAATTTATAAGGCAATACAACCAAGCCAAGGTTGAGGCCTTGTACCAGTTTGTCTTCCTCGATGAAACTTGGATATTTCAAAATGGGACCATAGGTCGCTCTTGGCAAAATGGAAACCAAAAAAGCGTGAAAGCTATTAAAACAGATGGTAAAAGGTATGTACTTTTACACAATTTGCACTATAAAATTTAAAACTAATATATTTTAGATACATTATATTACATGCTGGAAATGAAAATGGGTTTATTGAGGGTAGTGAAGCGATATTTTCTTCGAAAACAAAATTGAGTGATTACCATGGAGAGATGAACCAGGACAATTTTTTGAAATGGTTTCAACATCAGTTATTAGAAAAATTGGAGAGTCCATCTATGATTATACTGGATAACGCCCCTTATCACAGCATGATATTGAACAAAGTGCCCAACAATGCATGGACAAAAAAAAATATCCAAGACTGGTTGACAAATCAAAACATACCATTTTTAAACACAATGTTTAAAACAGAGCTATTATTGTTGCTCGGTACATAATGCTTCTTAATTATATATATTTTGGTCGACAGTTTATATTTCTTTTGTTTATTCCTATTCTTAAAATAACTGCTTTTTTAGAAACAAACCACCTAAAATATACGTGATTGATGAATTGGCGGAACAACATGGGCACAAAGTTCTTCGTCTGCCTCCTTACCATTGCATATTTAACCCTATTGAGTTAATTTGGGGCATAGCAAAAGGTTACTATAACAGACATATTGGTAGAGATGGTAACAGTGAAAAAGACTGTTTGGATATGTGGAACGAGGCTCTACAAACGGTTACCCCAGACATGTGGAAAAATAGTGTTCGACATACTGAGCAAGAAATTTTTAAATGGTATGAAAGAGAACGAATTTTTGATCGACCAGACATCGAACCTTTAATAATCAACTTTGAGAGTGATGAAGATTCAGATTCAGACAGCGCTGAAGAAAGAAACTCCGACTAACTTTATTGTACAGAAAAAGCTTACACCAGTAGCTTACCTAATTTTAGAATGCATTTTTCTGTATGAATTCTGTAAAATAAATACCATGCATAAAATTTGGAGGACCCCATTTGGATTTTTATTCAGTACCTTTAAGCTATCAATTAAATATGGTAGTTTCATAGTGTCATCTGATCAATAATTGTCATACTTAATGATTATGCAAGTTCAGATCTATAATTTTATTATACTATTATTTTTGTTCTCATTTGAGGTTAATATTGCTTATAAACCTAGATATGTAAATAATAAATTTTATTATTTTACAAAAAGTTTGGCAACAATGTAAATTTTTCAACACACCCACCTTGATGACGTGCACGCCACTTTGTTTGGCGTTGACTATAGTAGTCTGTGGTTCTCCCAGGGCAATAGTTCCTCATTGCAATTGGTTTTCTTATTTCGGGGATTCACCGGCACAGCCTAACGGCGGCGTGGCGCGACGTAGTTCGTAACAGCTGATCGCGACAGTTTAGTACAGAGTCGGACTTTAAATAAGGTATCTATTATTCAGTAGAATTCATTCAGTAGAATAATAGATCGAACATTTCCAATTAATATGAAAAAAAAATGATTTAAACAATGTTTTTTCTAAGTTTTATTTGTTTAAAACAAAATATAAAAACAAAAAAAAACGTTTAAAACAAAAAACGTGTTTTGTATAAAATAAAACATACATGTTTTTTTCAACCCTGGGATTAACGTGTAGTTTTCTTGCTAATAAATTTCCTTGTTTTTAGGAGGGACTAGAACTGAAACCGGCCCAAAAACTCTTGAACGGCATCAAAACGCCAAAACCGAGCCAAAAAGCCAAGGAAGACGTGGTGGAAAAAATCCAACTGATGGACGCGAACGATACGCTCGAGATCGTCACTGAAGAGTCGTGTCTGGAGAGCATCCGGATTCTGAACGACTGGTTAAAAACCGATACGGAGATATTGAAGTCATGTGCCGCTAACACAAAGAGCGTTTTCAAACAGATCACCAATCTGCTCAATCTGCTCAACATAAACATGAGCAGTGCCAAGGTCATTGGTGTCAAGTTGAAGTTATCAGAAGTTATTACCAAGGAAGCGAAGATCCCTTTAACGGAAGATATAATCTTGAAAGGTAGGATTCTTTTTTTTTCTACTATTTTGATCACTTACCAGTAATTTGAATTTCTGTTTATTAATGATAGAGTACTGATTTCTAGGCTAACCCCTTTTCAATGATTTTCTCTTGGCGAATTTCACAATTTATCGAGCTTGAAACTACCTAATCCTGAAAGTATAATTGCACACATATATCTTTCTTTCTTAGCGACTCACTATTAAGCTGGAGATCTTTTGGACACTAATGTATAATATTTTATTAATGACTGACTCGTTTTATCCCAGAAGTTTCCTAGTAAAACATCGTTGGTTCCTCGTAAACTGATTTATTTTACGCTGTTTATAACGTTTACATGGATTCGCTTGATAAAACACCAGAATCTTGAGAAATAACACAACCTTATTTTTATCCAATTGCCGCTGTTTGTGCTAATTATTTAAGTAGACTAATAGATTAAATAACTACCTTTAACTATTAGTCTAATTATATTAGCAAATTTTCCCGAAATCATTGTAAAGTCTGGTTTTATTGATACAAGTTTTTCAAAGGGGTGTTTAAAACATGGACGCATAAAATGGGTACACCAATTATTGTGGGAAAACTTTTTATTCGACAACATTTCGGTAGGTGTGCCACAGGGTATCAAATTAGGTTCATTACTGTTTATTTTATGTATTAACGATTTTCCTGATATGTTACAACATTGCAAAATTCAACTATTCGCTGATGATACATTAATATATATATAAAGACATTGAAACTGCAATAGAGCTGATAAATAATGATATGAAAAACGTAATAAATTGGTTAAATGTAAATAAACTTAAACTGAACACAAACAATACAAAATATATGCTAATAGGAAAATCTTTAGATCAAAATACGACAAATCTTACAATTAATCATGAAAAATTGTGTCAATCGAATCATTTATATATTTGGGCATATACGTAGATAGTAAATTAAAATTTGAAGGGCACTATGAATATATTATTTCAAAAATATCCAAGAAAATAAACTACTTTTATAGAATATTCTAAAAATCATTCTTCCTCATTTGTTATATTATCCCAAAACACCTGTTTTCCTGCCATCACTACTGTTTATTGAGCAATATACAGTGTTCGTTCAAAGAGCATTTAATAGCAAAATATACGAGCTTACCCTGTCGATATGAATCACAAACAATTCTGAAAGATAAATGTTATTTTTATGCAAAAAAGAATGCTTAATTCCTTAATACGTCACAAAAAAGATGTTTCTGCTTTGTTTCATGAAATATTCTTTTCTTGGCTCTTTCAATTTGATTTATTTAGCTTGGACAATTTTTGTCAAATACATCGTCGTTATATGAAATATTTGCGATCTTTAATACATCGTAAGTTTAAGTACAGTATGGACATGAACGTACTACAACAGAATTGCACTTCTCGGCTTAATGTCCGAATTGCCAACATTTGTAACATCAAGGAACACTAAAAAAATTGTAGAATTTATATTGATTGTTATACGGGCTGTTTCAAATTCGACCCTCACCGTTAGGATCTTGGAAACGGTAAGTGATACGACGTCGCTTAAATGGGAGCAATGTTGCGTATTTAGGTAGTTAAGAAAACGCCGCCTAGAAAATATCAAAAGTGCCTCCGGTGAATGAAGGAAAAAACCGAATTTTCCCAAAATCGTTTTAGTGTTTTTCTGGCTTTGTTCGTAGTAGGATTTCAAAATGAATTGCATGTTAACACTTCTACTTTTTCTGGCATAATTAGAATTTCAATGTCACTATATTCAATATTATGTACTGAAAATAATTGTATATAAAAACTGATTCGAATGAAACGATGTTGTTGGGTATTCTGCATTCTTTGTGACCCAGTTTATATAACTGCCGATCTATCAAATGTCCTGCAAATTTTTCAGTGTCTCATTTTTCAAGGTTTTTTTTATAGGCATACCAACATTCGAGGAGTCTCAAAAAGAAATTGACTGGAAATATTTAGACGAGAGAGGATTAAATGCGAAAGAAGAGGCTGTCATTAGATCAATTAAGTTACTGTCATTCGGAAAGTATCTATCCACATTAGATGAATCAGGCATTAGCTATGATGAAGATAAAAATATTTTTGTTTGTGCCATCGACGAAACCAAAAAGGACGATATGAAGATTTCTGCTGCTCTCTTAGAAGAACTGGTAAATATCAACATACAATACGTTTATTTTAGAGGAAAATACGGTTATTTATTGTTGATGCACATAACTTAAAGTTCGTTCAACTGAATACATATTTGAAAAAAGGTTGTTTCTTGAGCCATGTCCAAGCTGACTGAGCCAGAGTCTGCAGCAGATATATCCATTTATTTTTTTAAATCGTCTTTATTCTGTTTGGCTGCTGATATAATGTTGTTATGCATTTTTTTCTGGGGTTTATACTTGCTTGATTTCATATATTGGGTTTTCATGATGGTCAGTATGACTCTGACCTAGTTATTTTGTTCATATGTGCCAAATAGGAAGCAATTCGTAAGCTCTTAAGGCATTGTCTCTGAAGTTTTGCAAATGGGGTACCACCGGGATCAGAACTTGGTCCCCTGCTAATTCTGTCTATACCTGAATAGACATAGTGAAATGGAAGTAGTATGGACCCAAACCTTACCATCTCTGAAAATAAAAATATTCTAAATTCATTGATTACTGATATTCAAGATGATTTATCTAAACATGTCATATCCTTAATATTGCTTACCCTATGCACTATTGAACCGATTTTGTTGAAATTACGCAGGATAACAAAATAGCTAGGACTAACGTAAAACTAGACGGAAGGACTAGATTTTTCCACTTTCTTCTACAAAATAATGCTTAAAATTGAGCGAAAGATGTTTAGAGAACTCAAAACTCCAGGGTCGGATTAAGTTTTTTGTTTTACCTTGTATTTTAAGTACAACTCCCTGTAAGTTATTCTCTGAATTTATTATTATATCGCAAAAAAATGATCACTACATGATATAAATAAAAGGGAAAATTTATGTTATGCATCTTTTTTAATTTTTTTTTTCAGTAATTTTTTATCTTAAAGTGTTAGGCAGCAGCGGTGGCCGCAGTAGTCGACTCTTCGGTCGTCTGATCAGTCGCCGTGCGCTGTGCGGGCTCGAATCCCGTCCCAAGAGAAATATTTCTCTTAGCTATGGATGTTGTGATTGTCCGTAGGTGGTAGACGGTCTCTGACTGTCGAACGCAGAGGTACCACCCGGCGGATCTCGTAGGCGGAGCCAGAATGTGTGCGTGTGGCGTTCCCCCTTTCCCCTGTATCCCTCGATAGCAACACGGTACCCCATGGGTGTTTAGGCCTTCGTGGTAGTTGGACTATAAAGAAAATCAATTGATATTTTGCACAGTATTGACTCTCCAGATCAATTCAGGTCGGTGACCGTGTCCAAGATCGCGCCAAAGAAATTCCGTTTATTTTGCTATGCTATATAAACGGAATTCACACGGCGGGATCCCAGACACAGTCACCGACAAGTCACTGACCACTGTACGAACAAACCATAGATCGTTATATTGTACATCACAAAATCAAATGTCAAGGTCGAACTTACATACTATGTTTTTGTTGATTTTCTCATCCCAAAATTCAACAAAATCGGCACAAGGATCTTTGTGAAAATACAGGGTGGGTCTTCTATTACTTTTTTTCTATTTAAAAAATCAACACGCTTTTACTAGGTGAAATCGAATTTTTTTATTGATAAATGAACGAAATTTTCAATGACTTTTTCCAGAATAATCGGCTCTATGGCAACAATTTCAGTCCGAATGTTGCGCTTTAGATCTTGAATTGTCCAGGGACCATTCGCATACACTTTTCCTTTCAAAAATCCCCAAAGGTAAAATAGTCAAGAGGTGTTAAATCGCACGATCGCGGGGGCCAACTGACATCTCAATTTCGTGAAATTATGCGGTCTTGAAATTTCGTGTGCAATAAGGCGATTGTTTGGGGAGATATGTGAGTCTTTGCTCCATTTTGATGAAACCAAATATCGTCGGCACCAATACGATCCAATTGTGGCCACAAAAAGTCTGTTAACATGCCGCGATAACGTTCCCCGTTGACAGTAATGGCCTTTTCTTCGGCATCTTCAAAGAAGAATGGTCTAACGATGCCACCAGGACATAATCCGCACCAGTCATTTTTTCAGGATGGAGAGGTTGTTCATGATATTATTGTGGATTTTCAGCCCCCCAGAGTGTGCAATTATGCTTATTTACGTACCTATTCAGGTGACAATGAGCCTCATCAGAAAAGAGCACTTTGGCCGAAAATCCGTCTTCTCTTTCCAGCATCCAATTAACAAAAACACGCCGCTGTTGATGGTCTGCCGGCTTCAATTCTTGTGTTAGTTGGATTTTGTATGGATGAGGCTTAAATCAATGTGTAAAATCCGGCGTAAAGTGATCTCACTAATTCCCAATTACGGTGCCTAGTCGAGGTGGTTGGATCTTCCCGCACACTTTCACTCACTGCGGCTATGTTTTCACGAAACGAGCTGGACGAGCATGTTGGTATGGTCTACAACCTTCAGCTGAACCAGTTTCCTCAAAACGATTAACAATCCAACGAATTCCAGGCTCTATAGGGCGTCCATGTCGGCCAAAACTAGTGCGAAGTTTGCGAAAAGTATTTTTTATATTTCGACCGTTTTCGTAATAAGTTTGGATAACCAAAATGCGTTGTTGCGTTGTAAACGAATCCATGAATATAAATAGCATACGTTTGTCAGTTCATTTATGCATACCACATGACTTTTGACTCACATGGTAACATAAACTGATAGGTAAAAAAAAGTAATAGATGGCGCACCCAGTAAGAACCAAATTATTTTTCAAAATTTCACACCCTGCAACTTGGCAACCAGACAGTTTAGCACACTTGTTCATATGAACTTTTCTACCTAAATTTGGTTAACGAATACGCTCCTGTAATTACGGTTTACCATTAAGCAACACCCTATGTAATGTAGTCACTAAATGGTACGGTAATAGATGACTATAACGGCAGTATCGTCAGTCTATCCTACAATTGTAGGAGGCCTTTATGACCTCTTTGATTTTCATAGTTTTCTATTGTTCCATATCAGCGCTTTATTTGGAGGTTATGTTACAAATATCTATTTGCGTCAAATTGTTCAAGCTTTTGATTTATGTCATCTGTTATAGTAAAAATCACGAAATATGACTATTACGTCATACCATAAATTGTACTGAAGTAACCAATGGACGTACGTCGATGATACAATTACGATGTCAGGAACATATTGACAGCAAACTTGTATTATGACTTTGCGAAGTTAGGTTATTTCACAGATTATTTTTATTCTCATTTTATTTCATGGTTTTGAGTGATACCTTAAAAATAAGTTTTTAAGTTTTTGTTTTGAAAAAACTACAGTTATGAGTAGAATACCTCACGACAGGAACACCAAAGACCAAAGTATTATTCGAAAACAACCTAACCTGCTTTAACATAACCTAACTATTCATCTTTCAAATACGATCGATCATGCAACATGAAAACATCTTTGTCGGATACATCCAAATTAGCAATATAGTTTGTTTAGACAATAAAAGCATGTTTGTCTCTGTCTAACATATCTGAAACTTCATTAAAAATATTCACAAATCGCTGTCGTTTGTCTTTACTACAGACTAAAATGATGACGTAATCGTCATCTTTCGTGATTTCGACTATATATCAGCCTCAAATTTCTTGCAATTCAAAAAGAAAACATAGCCTCACAAAAGAAGGGCGCTGACGTTAACATGGTACAATGAAATCTAAAAGTGGATGGTGGAGAGAAAAGACTATGAAAATAAAGAAGGCCATAAAGGCGTCCTACAAATGTAGGAACGACTGACGATACGACCCTATAATTTTACATTTTTCAGGACATGTGCAATGGTGACGTCATGAACGACACTGCCACTTCAGCGGCGCCTTCCGGTTCTCAATCTTCACAGGATAACACCAAACCGCCACATCATAACAACCATCGTTCGCAACAATTGAACAAAATGAAGCATATGGGACAACTGTGGCTAGCAGCCGAAGTAAGTGTTGAAACTGCTCCCATTCAAAAATTCAAAAACCAGACACACAGATTTCATATTAACGTCTCTTATCTCCTTTTAGGTGCACGCTTTAGAAACTCGAGTTGGGGGTGCTCGACCAGCACTCAGCCCTTACTTGGTCGTTGACGCTGAGGCGCTGATTGGAAGTTCTCATGCTGTCAGACACTTGGTTGCTTCTCGGAAATTTGTGGTTGTTGTACCGACAGCAGGTAAGAAAGAAATGTATACTTTTGTAACCTATATCGAATTCACTTTCGAGGAGCAGTGGATGGAAACAATATCACGCATGAGAGGCTGGGCTAGACTGGCCAGAGTCGTATTCAGTGCTTAAAATACTGGCTTGCAAGCTCATTCGGTCATACTTAAATAATCGATCGCAGGTGGTTGATAGTCAAATGTATTTAAGAAATGAAATTCAATCCGGGGTACCCCAGGGATCGCTTTTTTACTTCCTATGCCTCTGGACGAGGCAGTATTGCAAACGCGAAAAATTTCGAAAATGAGATATGGTTTTTGGATGTTATATGAAATGTACATCACGACAAACTATGTCACTCATTTCCGCAGGCTTGTCTTGTCAGTCTGTTTCTCAGTGTGTCGCGTTGCCTGTTTGTCGGTCTGTCCTCTAATCCTTAGCACTTGAGGAGTACCGCTCAGATATTAATGAAATTTTTCACACACAGTTATACTTTATCTGAAGTCACTTGAAACACTGCGAAATACCGGGTGCATTTTATATATCTATATTTAACACGCTCTGTTGCTGCAAAAATCGCCAAATTTCGCAGCAAATATCCCCCGTATAAGAGATCAAAGGCAGTTTCACCGGTCCACGTGGAGTAAAGCACGCCTATGCGTGGACATAGCCAATGAGAAAGCGTGTATTTCAGAGCTCCGAACAAGTGCAGGTGGCTACTGAAAATTGAAACAGTTTTGCCAGTGCCGTGTAGCGGTGAATAAACGTGTTTTCTTTAGTTTGTCAGTGTTTTTTCATAGATTTTATTAGTTTGTGTATTTTTGACTTTTGAGTACTCAGTTTACTTGTTGATTTAATTGTTGTGTTGATTGTTCTTGTGTGTCCTAAATATGGCTCTTTGGAGACCTTGGGAAAATGCTCCAAGCCACGAGGAGATGGTTGATGAACCTGTGCAGGCAGAATTCTTTCATAAAGATTTAGAGGAACAGACCCAAAGAGTAATCCTAAATATGTATGATTGTCTGAAAAACGAAAATCCAGATTCCTCGCAAAATCAAATTTTAAACAGAATTTGTATCCTGACAAAAATCAGTCGGTCTACCATTTATCGGGTTATAAAAAGGGGAGATGTAGTCAACCATTCCTTCCACAGAAAGCGCATAGGGCAAAAATTAAAAAGAATAGACGTGGGTTTTCAGGAAGATATTCGTCGTATAATATACGGATTTTATAAAGAAAATTTGGTGCCCACGTTGGAAATGATACGGGATAAATTAAAAGATTATCCTGAAGATTTTTATAATTACAAATGCTTAGACTCACTGCACTGTATTGTAAAACTGTGTGGTTTTCAATACAAAAAATTAGATAAAAGAATGGTGATTATGGAGTCGTCTCGAATCGTTGAATTGCGCCAAGAATTTTTGCACAAAGTTAAAATCTATAGAGAGCAGAAAAGAAATCTGATTTACCTGGATGAAACGTGGTATGATACCCATGATGTTGTGCAGTACGGCTGGGTTGACGACAGCAACAAGTGCATTTTAAATGCACCATGCAACCGTGGAAAACGAATCATTATTCTCCATGCTGGCAGTGAAAATGGATTTATACCTAATGCCTTGCTGTTATCTGCCAAAAATATCAAAGAATCATGTGCCGACTATCATGAGGACATGACCTCCGACTTATTTGAAAAGTGGATAGAGCAGCAGTTAATACCAAACATTTCCCCAAATTCAGTGATTATTATGGACAATGCGCCATACCATTCCCGACAGAAAAACAAAATTCCGAATACAGGCACAAAAAAACAAGACATTATTGATTTTATGAAGGATAAGGGAATGGAAATACCACAAAAATCAACCAAAGCCATATTATTGGATCTTATTAAAAGACAAAAATTTGAAAAAGAGTATGTTGTTGACAATCTGCTTCAGCAAAATGGCCATGAAGTATTACGTCTACCTCCCTATTACTGCATTTTTAACCCGATTGAGTTGGTCTGGGCTGCTTTAAAAAAAAAGTAAGAAAACATAATCAGACCCCTCAATTAAGTGAATCGCTATTGGCCACAATAAGAGATGCAGTATCTCATATTGCTACCATAGACCTATTGAAGCAGTGTTCTAGGCATATTATTGAAAAAGAAAATGAATATTGTGTTTTGCCTCCTGTAAATCCCGTTGTAATTTCTCTACAAGATGACTCTAGCGACAGCTCCGAAGAGGATGATATATAAATACCTATAATGTAAGTCTTTATATACCTTTTTATATACCTACCTGCTATGTAAATATTTGCCTATGTCAAACGTTGGAATTCTGTAATTTTTCCATTTCTTAACTTTCAGTCAACATAAATTAAACTCCCAATATAAGTATTTTTTATCCCAAATCAAAAAAATAAGAAGATAGTAAAATCCATTTATTGTGATATAAAAACATTATTATTATCGTTCTAAATAAATGACCGCACGCCTATGATACGTCATGAAATTACAAAGGACGCGCCGACCAAAGGTTTTTATGCTATTTCAAGTGACTTCAGATAAAGTATACTTCTATGCCAAGAACGAAGAAGCTTTGTAATTTTTTAAAATAGGTTCAGAGGCGGCGGCCCTACAGGCCAAAAACACAAAAAGCAGAGCATCCTGATCAGTTTCAGAAATAAAAATTGCAGGGCTTAAAAATTAGGTGTGGGGTATATAGGGGCTAGGGGAAGTAAATGTTATTTTGTTATGCTAGCAATTTATACGTCTCCAACACAGGTAAGTCTACGTAAGTCTTTCAGACATTTGTCATTCATCATTAACGTCCGGATTTTTATGTGGTATAAAGCTGCAAAATATGTTTTTTTATGCTGTAAAAAATAGACGAAATATGGATTTTATATGTGGAAAAACTGAAACATAAATCTGCGAGCACAAAAAAAAAATAAACGCTATTAATATATTAATATATTATGTTTAATATAATAAAAAATATAATATATCAAATAATATTAAACTAAAAGTCAACAAAATAAAATAGGTTTTTCTGTAATGAACAGTAAAGTACTAATTGAAATTAACACATACAAAAAGTTAAACGATAGGTTTGCAGTATAAAACTAATAACTGGTTAATACTATCCATGCTTAAATTATGGCGTTTGTCTGTTAATAAATTTTTAAAAGCCGAAAATGAAGGCTCCACATCACATGATGTGTTCGGCGCAAATTTCAAGGAAGCTATGTCTGAAGGCTTCATTTTAATATCCGGATCACTTTGGTTCTGTCCTCTCAAAATGTAACAAACATTTTTTAAATTTGTTGGTATGAGATAAAACACTTTCCCATTTAACCCTAATTTTGTTTCCAACTTCTCCAGGAATAAGACTTAGTTCTTCAATCACCTTTTGTATGATTCTGAAAGAGTCGTTTAATGACAACTGGGTAGTTTCCAGCTCAATTATTGCTTTTGCTAACATGAAAAAATGAGCTTTAATAAAGCCTAAGTCTTCTAAAATGTTTGCCTCTAGTATCGATTCCTTACAAAATCTAAGTGCTATAGAATCAGCGTCAAGCGAAAGAAAAATTTCTTTGATTTTTACGAAATTATCTGCATAAAACAAGGCAGCATTGAGCCATGTACCCCATCTTGTAATAACAGGCTCAGGTGGTAAGGGCAAACCAGGAGCCATTTCTTTGTAAAATTCTACCCTTAAGGGAGCTTTTAAAAAGACCTTTTTTCCGTCAGTTATTAAATTATTAACAACAGGATATTCTGCACGTACTAATTCGGCTAATCTATTCAATGCATGAGCCATACAGGTGAAATGTATTAATTCCGGGTAAAATACCAGTAAAGCTTTTCCAGCCTTGATCATACAGGGTGACTTCGAAGTTGAGTCATTTATTTTAACAGTGAGTAGATCTGATCAGAAGAAATGTTTTTTTCCTTTACCACTTTTCTGGTAAAATTAAAGTAACAAAGTTATAGCCCTTCGGAAGTTTGAGTACCGCCCTGTCTCAATAATAATATTATGTGCTCGTGTTTGGCAACAACGGATATAATCCGCCTTATCGGTTCATCGCATCGGAAACAAAAAAGCGAAAGAATTTGGAACGATGTTTTTACAATTATTTTATTCAGTTGTATACAGTCAGTGTCAGTCGGTAACGCGTGAGTGAATAGTGGTGTCTGTTGCGTGGCTCAAACGAAATAAAAAATGGCACATGTTTATGCGGATCGGTTTTCCAATCGAGTGCAACCAACCCCTCGTGCCTTTGTTAATGTAGTACAACGGGCTCGTGAATCAGGTGACTTAAGACCTCACGATCAAATACAGGTCCGCACTGAAATACTTGTCGGGAGGATACTTTATAAAACAAGGAAACATTTTTTTTTATTTTTTTTTATTTTTACACACATATTTTGGTTTATCTTCCTTCTACAATCATTATCTGAAAATTAAGGACTCAACTTCAAAGTCACCTTGTATAAGCGGCCGCATCAGAAAGTATCAATTTTACGTTTTCTGATTTAACTGGATTTGGTGCATATAGTAGGGTTAAACAATCATTAGTTAAACGTACAACGGTAGAGTGATTGGTTTTTTCTAAGGCTGCAGAATTAATTAAATAAGACTCGTTTAAAATACCAACAAGTATATTGGCAACATAACGACCACATGCATCTGTGGTTTCGTCAACTTGAATATAAATATTTGTGTTGCATAACTTTTCCCTAATATGTTCTAAGCGTACCTGGTAACATTTCTTCAAATAGTTTTTGCGCAATGTGGATTCATTTGGGATATGGCGGTTACAATATTTTTCTAAAAATTTTTCGGAACGCCGGTTGTTCTAATTTATATCATGGTATGTTTGATTGCGACATGGAGTTGCATAAATCAAAATAAAATTCATTTCTAGAATCCTGGTTTTGTTGGGAGCTGCCCCATAATACAGTTGAAACAAACGTTTGTTGCACTTTCCCGTTAAATCGTTTCTCCATTTCCTTGTGAATGGCTGTAGCAAGGTGTTGATCGATCTGAAATTTAAATAAACCTTGAAATAATGAATATTCACAATAATAGCTTCGTAGATAATGAAAGATTAATTAATTATTATATTAATACATACAGGGTGACTTTGAAGTTGAGTCATTAATTTTCAGATAATGATTGTAGAAGGAAGATAAACCAAAATATGTGTGTAAAAATAAAAAAAAATTCAAAAAATTTTTTTTCTTTGTTTTATAAAGTATCCTCCCGACAAGTATTTCAGTGCGCACCTGTATTTGATCGTGAGGTCTTGGAGCACCGGCATGCAGTCCCCTGTGTGGTCTTAAGTCACCTGATTCACGAGCCCGTTGTACTACATTAACAAAGGCATGAGGGGTTGGTTGTACTCTATTGGGAAACCGATCCGCATAAACATGTGCCATTTTTTATTTCGTTTGAGCCACGCAACAGACACCACCGACTGACACTGACTGTATACAACTGACTAAAATAATTGTAAAAACATCGTTCCAAATTCTTTCGCTTTTTTGTTTCCGATGCGATGAACCAAACACGAGCACATAATATTATTATTGAGACAGGGCGGTACTCAAACTTCCATAGGGCTATAACTTTGTTACTTTAATTTTACCAGAAAAATGGTAAAGGAAAAAACATTTCTTTTGATCAGATCTACTCACTGTTAAAATAAATGACTCAACTTCGAAGTCACCCTGTATACTCACTTGCTTTGAACAGGCGTTACAGTATACAACTGTTCCATTAGTGGATAAATGTTTAGCATTCTTTATCCATTTCTTAAGTAAATCAGCTTTAGAGCTTGATACTTTCGGCATGTCGATCTTTCTAAATATTAAACGGCAGCGAAGAATAATACGTGTTTATTTACTACTCAAGTTTTCTAAATAAAGATTGCGACAAGTGCACGGCACGGCGGCGGCGCCAAGTTATTAATCGGGGAATCACCGATATGCTTTGGGGGAATCACCGATAAGCTTTGTAGTCTTTACAATTTGTGCCCCGTTGTCAGATTTACATAACAATGAATAATAATAAATGTGTTTAGTCAGAATAAAAAAAAAATGCCATTTTATGTTTTTTAAAGCGTATGTCTTTGTATATGCATTATATGTAGAAAAAAACCTAAAATATTATGTTATATATTTTTATCCGAAAAAAAACCCTAAAATATTATGTTATATCTAAAAACATGTAAATACATGCAAATCCGGTCTTTATTCATCATAGTACATTTAAAACTTGAATGATACAGGTGTATCTACGATATAAGCGCGCCGCCACTGGATTGATTTTCAAATCCTACAAAGATTATTCGTCCTTGACATAATCGTTTCAAAATTTCCAAACCCGAGCGGTGCTTTTCGAGTTATAGACAGACTGACGGCGATGAGTCACATGGTTTTTCGTGATGTACGTCGTGTGACATCCAAAAGGCAACCGCATTTTCGCATTTTCGGAAATTTTCATGATGGCCATGCATCTTTGCCATTAAGAATTGGGATTATCAGGGACTTAAAATTTTGCCATGTCTGAAAAATGGTTTTGACTATGCCTAGAAGCGATGAGTAAAATAAAATCTGTTTTTTTTTGTTGCTTTGCATTTTAACTATACGACAATGCACCAACATAAAAATGAAAATAACGTGTATTTTGGAGATGTAAACGTCATAAACCATGTTACCAAGTTACCGCTCTCACAATACTTGAAAATATGAGCTTTAGATATTTTTTATTATTGTTAATCGTCATAGTTTTTTGATGATTTCCCATTACACTTAGACGAAATTTCGAATTTATTTATTAAATTCCATTTGCATTTCCCAAGGCCATGCAGACGATTTGAGTATCGGTTATTTATCTACTGTCTAGATTGCTACAGAAAGCCACCTTTATCCTCATTTTATACTGATGCGCTAAAAAACTTCGAGAAATAATTAATAAAAAACGGGAAAAATACGCGGCAAATTTGAAATATCAAAACGGAAAGCTATTGGCGTAACGTCGAGATATCGGTAAATGAGCATCCAATCCTTTGTGTATTGAAGCTATCGGTTTGATCAGTTTCAAAGATTGATTGTTTGACGCCTCTGAGGTATCTACTACCAGTAGATGTCGCCCGTAATGTCAACACGTTTAACAGTGGACATGCTGCCACCAGCAGAAGAATTTCATCGCCAAGAAAACGTCGGAAAACAACAAAAGAGAAATAGAACCTTTCAAAACTTGTCAACAAATCATGACAGCAAATTAACCAAACATAGAATGGAATGATAAACCATGAGTTGTGACGCGAAAAATGCAGCGTTCAAATCAACGTCATTGGCATTGCATTTTCAGATATTTAATTAAATAAAAAAAGAGAAATTTCCATGAATATTTACGGTATTATATTAACGTAAATAGTCGACAGAAAATATAAGAAAAACATGCATATTCCATATTGGCGATGAACTAGTGAATCGCGAAGAATTCCTAAAATGAGATATTGTTTTTTGGATGTTTCATGACATACAGCACAAAAATCATGCTGCTCATTTCCTGTCTACCTGCTAAACTTTAGCCCCTCTGTGATTTGGAAAGTGCCGTACGGATATTGATAAAATTTTGAGACCAACATGCTTAAATTCGTTGGAGTTATCATTTTCATGCGTTTCTAACCCCTGGACTTGCATCTAATAGATATTTTTATTAGAAAAGTTCCCCCTATATTTGCCTTTTGTAAGACAGAACGAACGAAAAGAGACGATAAACCTGTCGCGAAGAGAGCTCATTCTGTGTAGCCCCGTGGGTTGAAAATCAAAGAATGGCATGAAAAACTATGCTAAATATGCAAATTTTAGGAGGCAGGGACTGGGGACTGGAGACTTATTGTCTTGGCTGACCCATTGAATGCCTTTGTCATTCATGTTCGTAGTTAACGTTTTCTGCTGAGCATAAAATTTGATATGTTGGAAGTGCAGAGTCAACCCACGTGACGCCATTGTTTTAAATAAAATAATGGTATTTCAGCTTGGGAACACACGAGCTCTCCAGAGCTTTTTGGAACATTCGACTTGAATAACCCTATATGTAGCTAAATCACCGTTATACTAACATCAGCTAATTAGCCCTGTACTATAATGGTTTCCGGTATAGCTGTCCGAAGCTGCATCTAATGACCGTTCAATTTTCGCGGATTAAACGGACATCGCCGGCCGTCGTCGACTAGCGCTCCGCCATCGCATGTTTATCCCTCCAACAACGTGCAGTCGTCCCTAGGGAACCGTTATCGGGATTTCGACGTCTTCCCTGACGGTTACCAACTCTAATCCCCGCTAGATGCATCGCTCGGACCACTGCGAAATACCCGGCGGACAGTTATCAGGCGGGTGATCTACGGAAGGCCATGCTCCTTGCAAGGCCAATTATTGAAAAGTCGTAGTTATTGCCGTGCGATGGCAAATTCCTTCTCGAATATTGCTCACAGGTTCGGGGTGCTTCCGCCCCGACTACATTATTTATGAGCGATGCTGCCTAGAGGAGGGCTGTCCGACTGATCGATGATTATTCTCTATAGACAGTAGTCGGTAATCCTCTCTTTAAGGCCCGTATCGTCAGTCGTCCCTACAATTGTAGGGCGCGTTTATGGCCTCCTTGATTGTCATACTCCTTTCTCTCCTTAAAAAATTTCTAGATTACACTTGTCCCGTGTCAGCGTCAGCGCTCTTCTATTGTGAAGATATGTTTTCTTTTCAAATTGTAGGAAATTTCAGGCTGATACAACATGATATAACTCAAAAGCAAGCACAATTTGATGCAAATAGATGTTTGTGACATAACCTCAAAATAGAGCCCTGACACGGAGAAGTAGAAACTATGACAATCAAGGAGGCCATAAATACAATTGTAGGGACGACTGACGATACGGGCCTTACCGCGATGTGCCTGCCTAACTGCCTAACTTTGGCTTGCCATCCTAACCGTGTCGAACTTCGTACATCCAGAACTGGCAGATACGACCGCTCCTTTGTCTCGAGGTTGTCGAGACTCTGGAACAATCTACAAGAGGAAACTTTTCAGAGTTCTACTAACCTTAGGTAGTTTTTTTTTTGTTTTTTTTTTTTTTTTTTTTTTTGTTCTGTTATTGGCACTGGTCGATGACCAACTGGCCAGATCCTTATGTATAATGCTATGCTTTAATAGAAAATAGAACATCCATTACTTAATATTACTATTGTACGTAGTCATGCCATAAGTTCTGTCCCTCGTTTTCAAACAAGTGTAGACCTGTTAATACTTGTCCGATTGTTTACATTGTGGTGTCAGTTGATTAAGCGCTTTTCGGGTAATTACATATACCTCAGTTTGTATTGATCTCTCGAAGCATAACGATGGAGTGGGGCAAGGCAGAGAACCGTATTGCAGTGATAGCTTTACATAAGTGTAATCACAGTGCTAGTCAGATTTTTGAACTCTTACGCGGCCTTCAAATATCGCGTAAATTTGTGTCTAGGACCATTCAGCGGTACAATGAGACGTCCTCTGTTGATGACAGGCCAAGAAGCGGAAGACCTCGTCAAGTAAGGACTCCAGCAGCCATCAAAGCCGTAAAAGCCAGGATTCAAAGGAATCCACTCCGGAAGCAGAAGATCCTATCCAGGGAAATGAAGATTCCTGTCCGGACGATGTCGCGCATCATTAAACAAGACCTAGGGCTAGGGGCTTACCGGAGACGTACGGGCCAGCGACTTACGGCCACCTTGCGACACATCAGGGCGACAAGATCCAAGAAGCTCTTGGAGAGGTACGCAGCTGGGGGATTCCGAAAGATTTTGTTCACGGATGAGAAAATCTTCACCATAGAAGAAAAATTCAACCGACAAAATGACAAAGTGTATGCAAGGAGTTCACAGGAAGCTTCGGAGATCATTCCGAGAGTTGAGAGAGGCCACCACCCTGCGTCAGTCATGGTTTGGTGGGGGGTGTCCTACGAAGGGGTCACTCAGCTCCATTTCTGTAAACAGGGCGTGAAAACAAAAGCGGCAAACTATCAGAGCGACATACTGGATCCTATCGTCAAGCCTTTAAGTGGTACATTGTTTGCCAACCAACACTGGGTCTACCAGCAGGATTCCGCCCCCGCTCACAAGGCTAAGAGTACGCAGCGCTGGCTGGAAAGCAATGTGCCAGAGTTCATTGCTGCGGAAGATTGGCCCTCAGGGAGTCCGGACCTCAATCCTTTAGACTACAAGTTGTGGGACCTGCTAGAGCAGTTGGCCTGCTCCAAAGCCCACCGTAATATCGAGTCCCTGAAAGCGGATTTGATCCGATCAGCGGCAGCTATTCCTTTGGAAGCTGTGCGTGCAGTGATAGATGAGTGGCCCGCGAGATTGAAGCAGTGTGTGAAGGCCAAGGGGGGACATTTTGAATAAAACTGTTTGATTATGAATTCTAAAAATGTTGTCGAATAAATAATATCTTTCATATAAATATATCTTATCTTGTTTCATTTTTATCATGAGATTATTATGGGACAGAACTTATGGCACGACTACGTATATTATTTCTATTATACTAGATGCAAACACATTTCTCTTTTTTTTTTTGTTTTTTTTTTTTTAACCAATACTTGTTACTTATTTTTTCTTTTTCTCTATTTTGTTTATAAGATTGTTTTTTTTTTACTGATCTGCTTTTTTGGTTTTTCTTCAAAACTCGGATTAACAAAACAACAGACGTGGCGCCGAGTCACGTCGTCATTTTATCAATGAGATTCCTCGCGATCTTGACATCGGTCGTCGACGTTAGAATTATAATCCGCGCTCACAGCAAAACGTAAGTTTCCAAGTAAATAAGCTATTATTGTCTTTTTTAATTTCAGATTTTTAACGCCATCTAGAACATTTTGAACTTACATAAGTAGGTCATCTTGGCCGGTTTAAATTGTTTTTTGATCAAAATTATAAAGGTTATTGGCAACTTATTGGTATAAAACTCAATAGCATCTATCAAGATGTTCATTTTACGAACACCTCAACCCACAAATACGCATCCATGCACTACGTAATGTTAATTCCTTAAGGGATCCATACTCGCGACGGAATATGACTAAAAACAATATACCTAACGTATTAATCGATGCAAATGAAGAACATAATCTTGGAAATATATCTACTCGCTACTTCTCAAAGTTTGCTAAAAACATTTCTTAACCTCTGTTTCTATTCAGTTGATGAGTACGTTGATGCTATGACGTCACTCGGATAGATAATAAATTAGTTTGCTAGACCTCACTCGAACATTGTATATACATAATTTGGTCAATAAATGGTGTGGTCTTTGAACGGATACATTTTTTTCTTTCATGAGTATTTTTTATTATCGTAATTACTCAATCTTTAAAGATCAGATATTTTTCTCACAACGTGTTGGGAACAAATATCACATATCCTTTTTTTTTTGATGTTTTGTGACATAAAAATTGATGTAATTTATAATGTAAGATACTTCAGATTTAACCATTTTTATCGCACAATACTTACGGTTTTGGCGGTTGTGAAGATCGAGACATTGTTTCAGGACGGTGAGATATGCAACATATCAGAAATTCAACCAATTTAACGAAATTCGGATTTCCGTGGTTCTTTATTATTTAAATAAATAGCCCTTATTGCCCAATAGTTAAGGAAACCATTTCCAGGACAATCCTATGATAAATCAACTAACAAAAATGGAAAACATACTAAAAGCAGGTGATTTCATCTAAAAGGAAAAAACAAACAAGAAAAAAGTAAAAAACATTTCACTCAAGTGGTAAACATAAATTATTCAAGTAATTTATAGATTACTCACAGAATGCTGTTCAAACTTTCAGCATGTATATCACAATAATTAGATATGGCAGTTTTTGATAACCAAATAAAATAAACAAACAATGAACCATTACAATGACAAGTGGCAGAGCTCGGAAAAAAGCACACTTTTGACGTTTCAGAAGGATTACGTTGTTATACAGGGTGGCCCATAAGTCCTTTGAGCTGGAAAAAAAGGAATAAAACCAAACTAGTTACATTATGAAGAATTATTATATTTTGTTATCATCTTTATTGAATGGGAATTATGTTTTAAAAATCACATCGTCTAAATGCAATCCATTACGATCACGGCACTCATATAAACGACGTCTAAAATTGTCGATGACTGCGCGGCAAGTCAACACTGTAATGCTTGCCATTTCTCTTCGGATATTTTCTTTCAGGGCATCAACTGATCGCGGAGTGGTGTCATACACTTTACTCTTGAGGTAGCCCCATAAAAAGAAGTCCATGGGGGTCAAATCTGGATTACGTGGTGGCCAGGAAATGTCTCCTCTTCGAGAAATTACTTTGCTGGGAAAAAGTTGACAGACGACGGGCATAGAAGTGTTGGAGGTGTGGGCAGTTGCTCCGTCCTGTTGAAACCAGGTCTGCGTATTATAGACTGGAAAATTCTGCAACGCTGGTGTCAAAAACTCTTCTATCATTGCTACATACCGCTCCGAAGTAACAGTTAATGCGCGACCTCCGTCGTCCTCAAAAAAATAAGGGCCTACGATGCCATGCGCTGACATAGCAGCCCAAACTGTAACTTTATGGCTGTGTAAGGGCTTCTAATGCTTACGCCTTGGATTTTCGGGGCTCCAATAACGGCAATTTTGTTTATTTACATGCCCGTTTAAATGGAAGTGAGCCTCGTCCGAGAACAACACATTATTGAGCGAAGAAAATCGATTCAACATTTCATTCGCAAAGTTTAGTCTCTGAATAGCGTCATTATCTTTTAATTCCTGCACTAACTGAATTTTGTAAGCGTGCAGACGTAAATCTTTCCTTAAAATCCGCTGTAAAGATGTTCTGGGTACGTTTAGTGCACTGGAACGCTTACCAGTAGACTGGGTAGGATTTTGACGAACAGACTGTGCCACAATGTTGATGTTTTCTTCAATACGAGTTGTCCTTGGTCGACCCCACCGCTGTTTATCTAACGTCGAACCAGTCTCTTCGAACTTAGCAACCCAGTTCTTAATCGTTTGAGCTGTTGGACCGCGCAATGGTTGCCGAATCATTATTTTGATAAAACGCGCGCACACAAAAAGCACGATCCGCTCCAGTGAAACACTCCATGGCGACTGAATTCCCAGACACTGAAGATACTGCCCCCACCTCGCCCGCGCCGCTCACGCTTACCCGTTAAATTTTATTCAAATTTGAAATTTCAAAGGACTTATGGACCACCCTGTATTTCCGAACGCAGGTAACATGTACGTCAAACAATCACGAACGCTAAAATTGTTACAGAGTATTACAAAAAGTACACTCTGTAACAATTTACGAACGCAGCTCCTAAGTGCAATACAATTTAATAATAATACTATATTTTTTCAGTCGTCTCAGCCCTGGATGACTTGAAACACGAGCGTATCGAAGCCAGAGACGCGATCCGTTGGTTGGAGACTCAATTCCGTCGCGGCAACCGTTTCTTTAGAGCCCAGCGGCCATACGAGAAAGCGCCTCTGCCTTTCATCAAATACCCCAAGAAGAGAGACAAGGAGATGCACGCTTACATACAGATTGTCGAGTGCTGCCACTATCTTGCCGAACAGCAAAAAGGCGCTGCGAATTTGGTTACGCTGCTCGTCGGGAACCAGAATATACTGGTCAATGGAGAAAACAAGGTAGGTCAGTTTGTGATAAATTCAAGGTATAATGTACAGAGTGTTGCATATAATATAATATTTTTGTGATTTTATTGACCATGTAGCATGACGTCACGACACGATATTTTGCATTTTTTCTTAAAAACTAAAAAAAATATACGAATACGCTTAAGCAAGTGCGAAAGAGCGTATTAAAAGCATGCAAACGCGCTATAACACTTTACAAAACTTCAATCGGAAGTCTGAAAAAATCGAAACAAAAGAGGGTGATGTTTCTAAAAGTGGCATTTTGTCAAAGAGTTTTAAAAAAATCGAAACTTTTGAACGGAAAGGAATAAAGAAATAAAAAAGTCGCGTTCCAAATGTCCGATGTCTGGGCTTTCTTACTCAAAAATCGCTAGGTCCGTAGCTCCGTTATCTTCGGAGGAGATAGATGTAGAATATCGAAAAGCACGTTTAAGACAAAAAAAAATACATTTTCCAATGTTTGAAATTTTTTTATTCGAAACTGGCGCCCTAAACGGAAAAGCTCTCTCTCGATCAGTTATAGGATTCATCGAGATGTAAAAAATGCGCTATGTGAACTTTATTTAGAGAGAAGTTATCGGCTTTTTAACGAAAATTTTTCATTTTTCAGGTTTTTCTTTGAAAATTACTATAAAAAAAACTAAGATGCGGATCAAAAGCGGACCTGGAAAATATCGAAATAGGGACACCTATCACTTAGCTATCGAAAGCGACGGATCTCAAGTCGATATTTTGAGAAATGGCGTAACGGTGGCGAAAATCGTTCGGGCGATATCCGAAAACTAACCGCCGTTTTTGATCGTTTATTCGTCCTCGTACCGCGATATTTCTTAATCACTCGTAAAGCGTCGAGTTTCTAGTTGTCTAAACGTATCGTTTTCTGATAAAACCTATCGGCAACCCGGAAAAAAATCGTTAATCTTTAATTTCACAGAAAATTTTCAAGTCGTCAGCAAAAAATAGGTGCAGGGTTGTCAACTGTGTCATTAACGTAGATTCTAAATAAAAGGGGACCTAGGTTAGATCCCTGAGGTACCGCTGATGTATACAGGGTGTCCGCAAAGTTGGGGTTTTCCTTTTCAGAAACAACTACCCTTGAAATAACAAAGGTAATGTGTAGTGAAACGAGGGCGACCAAGTAAAAAAAAAAATAAAGGAAAAAGTACTCACTCTCCAGTTGACGAGAAGGGCTAAGTACGTCTCTGCCCGAAATCATACCGCTCCAACAGAAAATGAAATCAGCTGATGCGCTACCGAGCAGACGCAGGCAAACAAGGAAGGCAAAATGTTGCGTAAAAAGTTCTAGGTATTGCATCCCGTCCAATCGATTTGGGAGAATAAATGGTCCAATGAGCATACCGTTCACCATGCCAGCCCAAACATTCACCGAAAATGTTTGTTGAAAATGTGCCCGACGGACAGCGTGCGGATTTTCTACTGACCAAACATGAGTGTTGCGAAAGTTATTCACCCTATTACGCGTGAACGTAGATTCGTCTGTCACCAATATACACTTCAAAAAGTCCGGATTATTGTCATGTTGATGCAACAACCACTCACAAAACCGCACTCTTGCTGGAAAATCGTCAGGTTTGAAGGGCTTGTACACGTTGGACGTGAAACGGATACAGCCCCTCTTCACGCGGCGTTTGCCACACTTTAGTTTTTGATACTTGCACTTCTCTAGCCACGTCTCTAGTGCTTGTTGTTTTTTGAAACGCAATCGATTATACGCGTTCGTTTACCTCTACACGCGTGACCGTAACCGTCGATTGAAGGTTGCATACTGACCTGACACACTGACCCCGACCCAGTTCTGTCGTCGGGTTGAGCTAGTGTCCTAGTGCCATTCGGGGATGTCGCGGCTACAGGACGGTATTCAGATATTTTTGATGTTGCAGAGCCCTTTATCTCGGTTCCCTTAAGACATTGGTGTATATGGTACTAAGAAAAATCGCTTATGTTTTCAAGATCTACACGTCGTGTAAAGGAAAACCCCAACTTTGCGGAGAGATCCACTGATCCGCAGTACCAGATATTTTTAGAAAGTCCTGTAATGTCCATTCTAATAATAACTATTTCTTTACAGGAGTTCAGCTACGTCGGTTTGGCGCAGTCCGCAGGCATCGCAATCGAATCCATCACAGTTTTCTACGCGAAATGGAAGAAGAGTAAAGGAAAAAGGTGATGGGAATCAGCAATGCCATGTGGTTGACACAAGCGATTATATTCACACATTATACTATGGCAAGAGTGGAAGTGGAGAGTCTCACACCAGAGCAGCCACGGATCCATTTGCAGTAACCGCCGCTTTGGAGATGTTATATCAGGGGAAAATTAATTCTGTATAACAGTTTTTTTGGGCATACCTTTTATGTAATCAAGAGTAGTTCATTTCGTTTCGATTAAACTATTTTATGTTTCAATGGTGTCTTTGATTCCCAAACTCCTGATACCGTCGCAGGTTTTCAAGTGTATTAAGGCGGCGACTGACTGAAGCCGAGCGCTGATTACATTAGTAAGGCAATGTAACATAAAAATTAGCTAGCGAATAGCTAAAGCGAGCGCCGAACTGAGCCGTTCACGTCGAGCAAATCGTGCTCCACTTCACTGTCGGCGTTTTGACGAATCCCTTTGATGGATACATTACATCTCAGTACATCTGGGGACTAGTACGTCTGTCTCTGGAGAATATGGAGCACTTTTTAGCCGAGCATTCCAAGTGAACAAACAGCTCGAACCTCAATAGTCGATGCCGTCACATTAACTTGACGGTTTATTAGGAAAATTCATAGAACGGCAATAGTCTATGATAGCGTTAAGCGGATCGACGAAAATAGTCGAGTCAAATTAAGTTCGGAAGCTTATAAGTCAAACAGCCCGAACAGAAACAGTCAGGCGGATTAACGAAAATAGTCCAGTAAAATTAACTTGGCGGTTTATTAGGAATATGCATCGAACGGCAATAGTCTATACTAGCGTTAAGCGGATCAACGAAAATAGTCGAGTCAAATTAAGTTCGGAAGCTTATAAGTCAAACAGCCCGAACAGAAACAGTCAGGCGGATTAACGAAAATAGTCCAGTAAAATTAACTTGGCGGTTTATTAGGAATATGCATCGAACGGCAATAGTCTATACTAGCGTTAAGCGGATCGACGAAAATAGTCGAGTCAAATTAAGTTCGCAAGCTTATAAGGCAAACAGCCCGAACAGAAACAGTCAGGTGGATTAACGAAAATAGTCCAGTAAAATTTCCTTGGCGGCTTTAGAGGAAAATGCAACGAACGGCAATAGTCCATAATAGCGTTAAGCGGATCGACGAAAATAGTCGAGTCAAATTAAGTTCGCAAGCTTATAAGGCAAACAGCAGGGAACAGAAACAGTCAGGCGGATTAACGAAAATAGTTCAGTAAAATTAACATGGCGGTTTATTAGGAATATGCATCGAACTGCAATAGTCTTTCCTAGCGTTAAGCGGATCGACGAAAATAGTCGAGTCAAATTAAGTTCGCAAGCTTATAAGTCAAACAGCCCGAACAGAAACAGTCAGGCGGATTAACGAAAATAGTCCAGTAAAATTAACTTGGCGGTTATTAGGAAAATGCATCGACCGGCAATAGTCTATAATAGCGATAAGCGGATCGACGAAAATAGTCGAGTCAAATTAACTTCGCAAGCTTATAAGGCAAACAGCCCGAACAGAAACAGTCAGGCGGATTAACGAAAATAGTCCAGTAAAATTAACTTGGCTGTTTATTTGGAAAATGCATCGAACGGCAATAGTCTATAATAGCGTTAAGCGGATCAACGAAAATAGTCGAGCCAAATTAAGTTCGTAAGTTTATAAGGCAAACAGCTCGAACAGCAACAGTCAGGCGGATTAACGAAAATAGTCCAGTAAAACTAACTTGGCGGTTTATTAGGAAAATGCATCGAACGGCACTAGTCTATAATAGCGTTAAGCGGATCGACGAAAATAGTCGAGTCAAATTAATTTCACAAGCTTATAAGGCAAACAGCCCGAACAGAAACAGTCAGATGGATTAGCGAAAATAGTCCAGTAAAATTAACTTGGCGGTTTATTAGGAATATGCATCGAACGGCAATAGTCTTTCCTAGCGTTAAGCGGATCGACGAAAATAGTCGAGTCAAATTAAGTTAGCAAGCTTATAAGGCAAACAGCCCGAACAGAAACAGTCAGGCGGATTAACGAAAATAGTCCAGTAAAATTAACTTGGCAGTTTATTAGGAAAATGCATCGACCGGCAATAGTCTATAATAGCGTTAAGCGGATCGACGAAAATAGTCGAGTCAAATTAAGTTCGCAAGCTTATAAGGCAAACAGCAGGGAACAGAAACAGTCAGGCGGATTAACGAAAATAGTTCAGTAAAATTAACATGGCGGTTTATTAGGAATATGCATCGAACTGCAATAGTCTTTCCTAGCGTTAAGCGGATCGACGAAAATAGTCGGGTCAAATTAAGTTCGCAAGCTTATAAGTCAAACAGCCCGAACAGAAACAGTCAGGCGGATTAACGAAAATAGTCCAGTAAAATTAACTTGGCGGTTATTAGGAAAATGCATCGACCGGCAATAGTCTATAATAGCGATAAGCGGATCGACGAAAATAGTCGAGTCAAATTAACTTCGCAAGCTTATAAGGCAAACAGCCCGAACAGAAACAGTCAGGCGGATTAACGAAAATAGTCCAGTAAAATTAACTTGGCTGTTTATTTGGAAAATGCATCGAACGGCAATAGTCTATAATAGCGTTAAGCGGATCAACGAAAATAGTCGAGCCAAATTAAGTTCGTAAGTTTATAAGGCAAACAGCTCGAACAGCAACAGTCAGGCGGATTAACGAAAATAGTCCAGTAAAACTAACTTGGCGGTTTATTAGGAAAATGCATCGAACGGCACTAGTCTATAATAGCGTTAAGCGGATCGACGAAAATAGTCGAGTCAAATTAATTTCACAAGCTTATAAGGCAAACAGCCCGAACAGAAACAGTCAGGTGGATTAGCGAAAATAGTCCAGTAAAATTAACTTGGCGGTTTATTAGGAATATGCATCGAACGGCAATAGTCTTTCCTAGCGTTAAGCGGATCGACGAAAATAGTCGAGTCAAATTAAGTTAGCAAGCTTATAAGGCAAACAGCCCGAACAGAAACAGTCAGGCGGATTAACGAAAATAGTCCAGTAAAATTAACTTGGCAGTTTATTAGGAAAATGCATCGACCGGCAATAGTCTATAATAGCGTTAAGCGGATCGACGAAAATAGTCGAGTCAAATTAAGTTCGCAAGCTTATAAGGCAAACAGCCCGAACAGAAACAGTCAGGCGGACTAACGAAAATAGTCCAGTAAAATTAACTTGGCGGTTTAATAGGAAAATGCATCGAACGGCAATAGTCTATAATAGCGTTATGCGGATCGACGAAAATAGTCGAGTCAAATTAAGTTCGGAAGCTTATAAGTCAAACAGCCCGAACAGAAACAGTCAGCCGGATTAACGAAAATAGTCCAGTAAAATTAACTTGGCGGTTTATTAGGAATATGCATCGAACGGCAATAGTCTATAATAGCGTTAAGCGGATCGACGAAAATAGTCGAGTCAAATTACCTTCGCAAGCTTATAAGCCAAACAGCCCGAACAGAAACAGTCAGGCGGATTAACGAAAATAGTCCAGTAAAACTAACTTGGCGGTTTATTAAGAAAATGCATCGAACGGCAATAGTCTATAATAGCGTTATGCGGATCGACGAAAATAGTCGAGTCAAATTAAGTTCGGAAGCTTATAAGTCAAACAGCCCGAACAGAAACAGTCAGGCGGATTAACAAAGATAGTCTAGCAAAATTACCTTGGCGGTTTATTAGGAAAATGCATCGACCGGCAATAGTCTATAATAGCGTTATGCGGATCGACGAAAATAGTCGAGTCAAATTAAGTTCGGAAGCTTATAAGTCAAACAGCCCGAACAGAAACAGTCAGGCGGATTAACGAAAATAGTCCAGTAAAATTAACTTGGCGGTTTATTAGGAATATGCATCGAACGGCAATAGTCTATAATAGCGTTAAGCGGATCGACGAAAATAGTCGAGTCAAATTAAGTTCGGAAGCTTATAAGTCAAACAGCCCGAACAGAAACAGTCAGGCGGATTAACGAAAATAGTCCAGTAAAATTAACTTGGCGGTTTATTAGGAATATGCATCGAACGGCAATAGTCTATAATAGCGTTAAGCGGATCGACGAAAATAGTCGAGTCAAATTAAGTTCGGAAGCTTATAAGTCAAACAGCCCGAACAGAAACAGTCATGCGGATTAACGAAAATAGTCCAGTAAAATTAACTTGGCTGTTTATTAGGAAAATGCATCGAACGGCAATAGTCTATAATAGCGTTAAGCGGATCGACGAAAATAGTCGAGTCAAATTAAGTTCGGAAGCTTATAAGTCAAACAGCCCGAACAGAAACAGTCAGGCGGATTAACGAAAATAGTCCAGTAAAATTAACTTGGCGGTTTATTAGGAATATGCATCGAACTGCAATAGTCTTTCCTAGCGTTAAGCGGATCGACGAAAATAGTCGAGTCAAATTAAGTTCGCAAGCTTATAAGTCAAACAGCCCGAACAGAAACAGTCAGGCGGATTAACGAAAATAGTCCAGTAAAATTAACTTGGCTGTTTATTTGGAAAATGCATCGAACGGCAATAGTCTATAATAGCGTTAAGCGGATCAACGAAAATAGTCGAGCCAAATTAAGTTCGTAAGTTTATAAGGCAAACAGCTCGAACAGCAACAGTCAGGCGGATTAACGAAAATAGTCCAGTAAAACTAACTTGGCGGTTTATTAGGAAAATGCATCGAACGGCACTAGTCTATAATAGCGTTAAGCGGATCGACGAAAATAGTCGAGTCAAATTAATTTCACAAGCTTATAAGGCAAACAGCCCGAACAGAAACAGTCAGATGGATTAGCGAAAATAGTCCAGTAAAATTAACTTGGCGGTTTATTAGGAATATGCATCGAACTGCAATAGTCTTTCCTAGCGTTAAGCGGATCGACGAAAATAGTCGAGTCAAATTAAGTTCGCAAGCTTATAAGTCAAACAGCCCGAACAGAAACAGTCAGGCGGATTAACGAAAATAGTCCAGTAAAATTAACTTGGCGGTTATTAGGAAAATGCATCGACCGGCAATAGTCTATAATAGCGATAAGCGGATCGACGAAAATAGTCGAGTCAAATTAACTTCGCAAGCTTATAAGGCAAACAGCCCGAACAGAAACAGTCAGGCGGATTAACGAAAATAGTCCAGTAAAATTAACTTGGCTGTTTATTTGGAAAATGCATCGAACGGCAATAGTCTATAATAGCGTTAAGCGGATCAACGAAAATAGTCGAGCCAAATTAAGTTCGTAAG